AGGCCAGCTTCAGCGTGGACACGCAACTCGGCTCAGGTTTGGCGGCGGCCGCAGCACTGGAGGCAGCTGCGGCTGCGCACGATGCAGCGTGGCTGACGGTACTGGCGTGCGACGTCTTGGTACAGCGGACGCTTGGCTCGGCGGTCGTGGAAGCCACCGCCGTGCTTGCAGCGGCAGCCGAGGTGCAGGAGGAGACAGCAGCAGCGGGCAGCGATCCTGACGTGTGGGGTGATGCGGAGGCCATGGCAGTCATTCGTGCGCCGCTCTCAGGCCGTGTGCCGCCTGGGGAGGCAGCCGGAGCACCTTCCGCCAGGGTGTTGCGTCGCGCGTCGCACTACCGCTGGACTGGCTCGCAGCTGCTGCGCATGATGGCGGATGGCTCCACGCGCGTCTGCCCGCCGCCGGCAGATCGCATGGACCTGACTCAGCGGACTCATGCAGTGGCGCACTTGGGTGTGCGGCGTACGTTGGCGCTGCTGCAGCTGGGTTACTGGTGGCATGGCATGCGCAGCACTGTTCGGCAGGTAGTGGGCTCCTGCAAGCTCTGCGACATGTGCAACAGCTCTGGCTCATCGCGACCAGTGCAGCTGCAGCCACTGGCGATCAAGGGCATGTTCTACCGCTGGGGCATGGACTTGGCTGGGCCGCTGCCGCCTACCAAGCCGCACGGCTTCACCTACGTGATGGTGTGCGTAGAACACTTCACCAAGCATGCGGAGTTTCTGCCGTTGCGGGATAAGACGGCGGACGAGACGGCCAGGGGCTTGTTGGAGGTCATCGCCAGGTTCAGCGCGCCGGCGGAAGTAGTGACGGATCAGGGGGGGGAGTTCGAGGGGGCCTTCAGCCGCCTTCTTGAGCAGTGTTACGTGGACCATCGGCCGACGTCTGCGTATCACCCGCAAGCCAACGGTGCAGCGGAGCGGCTGGTGCAGGTGCTCAAGTCAGCCCTGCGCAAGTACTGTGCTGAGAGCGGCAGTCCTGAAACATGGGATCAGCACTTGCCGTGGTTGGCTCTCGCCTATCGCTGTTCACCGCAGGCCTCCACCAAGCTTGCCCCGTACACCCTCATGTACGGCGTGCCGCCAGTCGTGCCACCGGCGGTACGAGAGCGCTTCCAGGCGGAGCTGGCCTTCACTGGGAATGCCGGTGAGCAGGTCTACGCGCGGGCCTTGGTGGAGAGGGCAGCGCTGCTGCAGCGGCACGCGCCGGCCGCTGCCGGCAACCTGCTCATAGCGCAGCACAGAGATACCAGGCGGTACGCGCTCGTGCGCTCAGGGCTGTGGCGCCCCCCGCAGCTGCAGTTTGCTACGGGCGACTATGTCTATGTCCGGCGGCAAAACCCCAGCAACACGCTGCAGCCGCCGGTGCGCGAGGCCGTCTTGCGAGTGGAATCGGTGGGTCCCTTGGGCGTGGCGGTGCTCATAGGACGTGACGGCACGCGCATCAGGCGCCGGGTGGAGCAGCTTGTGCCCTGCCATCTGCCAGACTTGGACCCTATCGTCGACCCGCGGCTCATGCGCCCGGCAGCGGACCACGCCTGCCAGGTCTGTGCCTCGCCTCGTGACGGCGGCAAGATGCTGCTGTGCGACGCCTGCGGTACCGGTTGGCACCTGTACTGCCTCGTGCCACCACTGTCGCAAGTCCCCGAGGGCAGCTGGGTGTGCCCGGAATGCGTGCAGCTGCAGCGGGAGGCGCCGGCGGGGCCTGCGCCGCCCCAGCCGGAGCCCACCGCTGTGCTGTTTCCGAACGCCGCCACGCGGCGGCGTGACGACGAGGCGGCGGCACTGGATGGACGCCGCATCGTACGCATGGTCAGCAAGGGGCGCGGTCGCGGGCGCGAGGAGCAGCTCGGCGTGCTGCGCTACCGCGGCGGTCTGGCGAGGCCCCACTACTTCTATGCCGAGTGGGACGGGGGCTTTGCTGAGGCGGTCGGGCTGCCTGCGGCGAAGCGCATGCTGATGCCGGAGCAGACGAGTACGAGGAAGAAGGGCAGGTAGCGTTGTTTTGGGCTAGGAAAAGGCGTGCCATGCCGCGCGGCCGAGAAGGGGGTATTGCTTAGGTTGTGGAAGTTAGGTTGGCGTTGCCGGCTCGCTGCACCGCGAGTGCGAGGAGTAGGGGTTATCCTAGGGAGCGCAGCCAGACTCGCCGCTGTTGGGGGTAGTAAGGGGGAGCGCCAAGCCGCGTGGCCCGCTATAGAAGGTTGGTGTAGGGATCTTGGTGGCTAGTGGCTAGTGGGTACGTCAAGCCGCGTGCTCTCGGTCTTGCTTCGAGTTCGTCAGTTGCTTAGGGAAGGAACGCCAAGCCGCGTTGCCTGTTATGCCTGTTTTGGGCGTTGTGACTCTTTTCTCAGTTGTGTCAGGTGAGACAAGGGGGTGAGGCCAGGACGCCTGGTTTTTGGTTGGATTTTGGGTGGCAGCGTACTTCGCCGTGCCTGCTGCTGGTGCCTTTTCTGTGGCGGAGGCTTGACTATTGCCGCTTTCGTGGCCCGCCTGCCTGAATTGGGGGTGGGTTTGCTGTGCTTGGTTTGCCGGTTGACCCGTGGGTCGGTGCACCTTAGGCTCTGACCGCCTGAGTGCCGCTCGTGCTGGCTCTATGGCTGGCTTGGTAGCTGGTTTCGTGAACCTGAGGACTGCTGCGTGGATTTCCGTGCGGCGTGGTATGCGCGCGTTTCAGTGGCCAGACGTGCGAGCCTTGGATTTTCCTGTGGAGTTGACTGTCGTACCCGCTGCCGGTAGCAGTGTGACTTGGGGTGTCCTGGGCTGTTGTTCCGCCCTTGCGTCGTCGAGGTCCTCGGTCGGGGGGGGGAAGGTTCCACCCCATGTCATGATTTGGCATGTTTCATCGCTGGAGCATGACAGCTGTCGTGTGCAAGTCGTGTTCCTAGGACCAACCGTCCAACTGTCTTGCCGAAGTTGGAAGAAGAGACGCCTGCGGTGTTTATTGGTTGCTTTACGTATAGCGGTTTATTGGTTATCCGCTTGCTTTGCCAGTGTTTGCGATGCGCTTGCCCGTATCTCGCGATTTGGTCGTTAGTTCGTTGCCTTCCCTGGAGTCGTAGATCTTGGGCCGGCTTGTTTGTTCCCGAGAGCGCCTGGTTCGGCGCTTCTCGGGGCCTCACAGTGCTACACCGCACGGCAACATTTACAGTCCGTAATCGTTGTTAGAGTCCAACGAAAGCCTACTATACTGACCGTGCATAGCGCTACCAGCTGCGTCGCAATAGCCGGCTTGGCCAGCCCTATCGCGTAGCACCTATCTAGCACACCAGCCTGCTATTTAGTAGCCGTATCAGCGCCGGCAATCGGAGCGTGGGGCCTCAGCCGCCTACTTACTTCGGGCCTCTGCGACGTCGTGGCGCGTCGCACCGCTTACAGTATCGCCTACATCCTATAGGGGTTACCGGGCGGTGCCTTTGGCTACCACATCCCGGTGCGGAGTGTCCCTCAGCCACACTTCGCGTCAGCATAAGGCCTCATTCTCAGGCAGCTGACTAATCCCTGGTGCTCCTTGCCGGCACCATCCATTCAACAATTCAAGCATAGGATTGTTGTTTGGTCAACCCGCTCCTTTAAGGTTCCACCCCATGTCATGATTTGGCATGTTTCATCGCTGGAGCATGACACGGCGGGCATGGCGCATCTGTGGTTGTGGTAGCTTATCCTCATCCTCGCATCCGGGCTAGGAACCAAGCCACATACATACATGGATGAATCCTGCCTGCTGTATCCTGACTACGGCTGCCTATCCCCCACACGCGTCCTGCATTCGCGGGAAAGGTGGGGGTAGGGGTGCAGGAAGGGAACGGGTGAGCGATTAGCAGGGGTGGCCGACGGAAGCAGCGGCCAGGACGGTGACAGACGGCATGCAAAGCTGAGAAGCTGGAGGCTGGGGTCGGGCTGTCTTACACGGTGCATGGTTACTGTGGTCAAGAAGGAGCATGCGGCAGTGAAAGTTACATGGCGACAGACCGCCGACATGCAGACGCCTATACAGGTCAGGCGCTAAACCACATTACACGGTAGCAACTAAAGGTCACGGCGCCGCCAACGTGCGGACATCACTTACCAAGGATTGCGCTACCGGCGTGCTCGCTCACCTCCCTCTACGCGGGGCCTGCTGGCGGCCCGGCGGCCACCAATGCTCTGTTCACTGCTGCCTACGGCTTCAATGGGGCGCAGAAGGGGGGTCCTACATGCATGCGAGAGTACGGGGAGTGCGGGGCAGGGCGGGGAAAGAGCAGGCAAGCACTTGGCGGGGGTGGCGGGGGTGGCGGGAGCGGACAGGACAGAGACAGACGGCGTGCGTGCATGTCCGACAGTGGCTGCGTTGTGGGTAAACCATCATACATGACTTCAAGATGCCAAACACACACACACACCCCACATGCACCTCCTCCCCATGTACATGGCCGTGATCCCCTCCCCTTGTAAATTGCGTAAAATGCGAGATGATGTGTGTAACGGCTTGTTTGGTTAGGAAAACCACTAACCATCGAGCTGTTGTCATTGTCTGGGAGGCAAAAAATGCACCCGAAGGTGGGAATTGGAAGCCCATGTACCAGTCTACGCCTGGGCCAGAAGGCCACCCTCGTCCGGGAGAGCGCGTTTACGCGCGCAAAGCCTCATGTATGGTGGGTCACGCCGGGAGCGAGCCGTTGGAACAAAACCCCTGGACCTGGCGATGGGCGCTGTGTCCTTGTTTGGGTGGGGTACGGTGGGTTGGCTGTCGTTTTGGAGGGAGAGCAGGCGCTCGTCTTTATGTGGTTCAGCTGTGCGCGGAACCAGGCGCATGCTGGCATCTCAGAAAAAGTTGGGCTGCTGTCTGGGTAGGAAGTTGCTGTCGTGGGCAAATCATACCCCTATTCACATGCATACGCATGCCCCTGTCGACATCTGGCCAAGGGGCCAGCACAAAGCACATGCATGCAGGGGCGACGGCATGGTAAAGTCAGCCATCGACGGCGGGCCTCCTGACGCGCACGGTCATGCATGCCGTGGATGACGGAGACAGCTACATAGGCAGCTGGAAGGTGGATTGGATTGCATGGCTGGGGAGAGGCTGCAATACCGGTGTTTTGCACAAACTAAAGTAGCAGGGTGGGTCCCAAAAACACTCCCAGCTTCCCAAGCATCAATAAAGTTGTGATATACACATCCAGGCCCACGCGAGCCCCAAACTCAACTTGGCTATCTTGCCAACAGCGGTAAATGTTTACTAACTACGATGACCTTATCCGAACAACTCAAACTATTGCAATAGTTGAGTACAGGAGTCAAGATGCATACCGCAAGCTCTGGAAGCCGCCCCGTGCACTACTGTCCGGCCATGCCGAGTTTCCTCTTATCTAGTACACAGCACCTAAGGGACCTCTAACCCTGCAATCGAAAAGCTTTGATACCCGATGCAGAAAGTCATAAAGAACAGAACACGTCATGCGTTGAGCTTCTCAGTCACCCGTCAGTTTCCGACTGGTTTCCGTGTGCGTGCGTCCCAAAGCATACGGCCTAGAAGACCACCACACCTCAAACTGGTACAACTCACATACATCAGGCAAGCCACTCCATATGTCCTCTTCACATGGACCACACACGAGCCCACCATCCCCCTTCGGCCGCTAAGGTTCGGCCTGCTGTACGAAAGGCGGCATAGGGCCCACACATGAAAGCAAAGCGACCGACTCATCCTTCTCGACACCTCTCAGGCTGATTTCTCTTGATCTTCCTCAACCATCGGAGGCTCCTCCTCGACGGTCGACTGGTCCACCTCAATCGTCTGCAACAACCCCACCGCCCGCCGGGGCTCGTCTACCACCACCTCATACCCCACACCCACCAGCGGATACGGCGGCAGCGGCGGCCCCCGGCTCTCACCGCCCGCCTTGTCCTCCTCCTCCTTTCCCTTCTGCTGCGATCCGGCTTGCGCCTGTTGCGCCAGCTTCTTCTGCTGCTGCTCGTGTGCGGCTGCGAGGTGGGAGCGGTCGAGCAGCTTCTGGAGCATCTCCTCCGAAACCACTCCCGACTGCGCCAGGTCGCCGGAGCGGCGGTCGGGGTTGAGCAGCTGTGCCAGCTCGTCCGCCGAGGTGGAGGAGGTGGTCTGCATGGCCAGGTGGTGCAAGTGAACGAAAAACACGACGAAAGGAGGAAAGAGGAGAAAGCCGCCAGGGCCAGGTTGTACATAGGTATAGGAGGACCAGCAGCATGGCGCACTTGGTAAGGGGGTCTGCAGACCTCGGCGGTGGGGGGCACATGCCACGACCGCATGATAGCGGCGCGGATGTTGCCACGACGGAGACGGTTACAAGGTTGAAAAGACAGGCGCGTAGAGGGCGATATAGCATGGCAACGTGTTTGTTACGAGCGCTGAGAGGCGCAGCTTCATGGTGGCACGAACTGATGACACTCCCAATCTCAGCTGACGGGACGCAAACAGCAGTTCCTCTTCAGGACCCAGGACCCCACCTGCAGCAACTCCTTAAACGCGCCCTTCTTCATGACGATACGCTCCAGCGCCTTCTTGGAGTCCGCCTTGGCCAGCATGCGGTTCTCCACGCTGTTGCTGGTCACCAGCCGAAACACCAGCACAGGCCGGGTTTGGCCGATGCGGTGGCAGCGGTCCATGGCCTGCGGTGGAGGGGTGCGATGGAGGGGTGCGCCAGGCGAGGGCGGAGGGTGCGTACGACACTGGTGGGTTTTCACATATTGAAAAAACGGTGCAGAGCGTGTAGGGTGCGACATTGGAAAGATAAAGCAGAACTCGCCCTTATTGCGTTGATGGAGCATACACATGCGTCACCAACCGACTTTCTCTATCGTCCCCCACAAACTCCAACCTGCGAATCCTGGTGCGGGTTCCAGTCGGAGTCGTAGATGATGACGGTGTCCGCCGCCGTGAGGTTGATGCCCAGGCCGCCCGCGCGGGTGGACAGCAGGAACACCCACTTGTCCGACTGGCCGCTCTAGGGAAGGCAGGGGGGAGCGAGGGGGATGCATGCAGTGATGGTGTGAAGGATGCGAGGCAGGAAGGCCATGGTAAAGGCATCACGTGTGGATGCATTGGGTGTGTGAGACGTGAGCGGACATGTGTACGAGAGGACGCTTCAAGCATAGGGTTTGCCCATGGATGGGTGCTAGCCCATGAAAGGACGAAGACACCGCCTCCCCTTTGCTAGGAACCCGCAATCTCCCTTTGAAGATGCCCTGCTTGCCTTCGTACGAACAAGTAATGCATGTTCCCCCCCCCTAACTACCAATAGGCAGCTTCAGCCATATGGATTTGCCTGCATCAGCCCAACCCCACCTTGCCTACCTGAAACTCTGCGATTCCCTCCTTGCGCTGCTGCCAGGGCACACTGCCGTCGATGCGCATTGCCTGGATGCCCAGGTCCTGCAGGTAGGCCTCCAGCACGTTGAGCATCTCAGTCATCTGGAGGGGGGCCAGGGGGGGAGGGCATGAGAGGCAGGATGGAGGGAGTTTGTCGTTTGCGCCGCAACGCACCATTGACAGTAGGCAAGGGGGCGACGGGCTAACCATCTAGTGCATAGTTGGGTGGTGGAAGATGGTGCCGCAGTAGGGACACATGCCATTACTAGCACTACTGCTAATGGTGGGAAGGGAAGTCAAGTCAACAACACACTCCCAATTTCACTCGTACTCCTAAGGATGACATGAATATTTTCATCTTTACTCCTTTTCGCATCATGGCAAACAGCCAACCTGGCACAGACTCTAGCGACAGCGCTCGGCCCCCGTCAGTCGCCTTTTAGCATCCTCTCACAACAGCCGAGCCCACCCACCTGTGAGAAGATGAGCACGCGGTGCCCCCCCTTGCGCAGCTGCTTGAGCAGGCGGTCCAGCAGTGCCAGCTTGCCGCACTGCTCCACCAGCTGGTCGGCGGACGGGTAGGCGGTGCAGCCGGAGGCGGGGCCGGTGATGAGGTCGGGGTGGTTGCACACCTGCGCAGTTGCGGACATGGTGGTGCTGGACGAATGACCGGAAATGGGCGTGTTAAGCCGCAAGAGGGTGTTAAAAAGACTTAAGAGAGTGTGTCTGCGGTGGGGGTTAGGATGAGCAGGGGAGCTGGGAGCGCTGGCGCGCTTGACGACGTAATGTGATGACAGCCCGGGAGCGATCACACCCCGTACCTTGCGCATCTGCATGATGAGGTTGTTGAGGCTACCGGTGCGGGCGCCCACCGCCGCCTCCTTGGCCAGCTCCTCCTGTTTGAGGGGAGGAGGCAAAGAAGGCAAGAGCACTACACCTGTATGTGCATCCGACCCGTGTGCCTTTCCATAAGCGCAAAACAACACAGCTCTCCTCCCCACAGTTAGAAATGCCCGCCCTTTGCTTGTCCTATCCTTGAGGCCCGCGCGCGAGGCCGCGCTGCTCCTCCGCCATGCCCGCGCCCTTTGCTCCTCGACTGACTCTTTTGACTGCCTATTGCTCTAACCTATTGCTATCCTCCCACTCCTCTCCCAGTCCTTACCTTGAGCGTACCGTCAATGAGGCCCCGCGTGAGGCGGCGCTGCTCCTCCGTCATGTCCGCGTACAGCACCACCTCCTGCTTGGGCGGCACGCCGATGTTGACGTCTGCCTTGACGCGCCGCAGAACAAAGGGCTTCAGGATAGCGTGCAGGCGGGACACCATGCTAGCTGCGCCGGCAGCCTGGTCGGGGGCGAGGTCAACACACATAGCACACCACAGTAGCGGCACGGAATGCCAGCGTTGGCGGCGACATTGGAGACCAGAAGACGATGGGTACTGACGGTCCCTTAAGGGCATGCTGGCGGGCGCAAGCGCGGAATGATGCCCCAAGAGAGTGAAACGCGACCCCTTTCACCGCATACCTTATTCTCGCCAGTGCTCTCGGTTGCATCCGACCCAGACGCTCCAGCATCCGACCTGCTACCTGCGGAAGCAGCGGAAGGCTTCTTCGATGGCCGGCCGCGCCTCTTTCCGGCGCTGGGCTTTGCCTGCTGGCCGTCTGCGGAGCCCGCATCCGCCGCCCCAGCCGCTGCAGGGGCGGTGACGGTAGCGGGGATCGCAGCGGCCGGGGTGCGGATGTCGAACCAGTCCAGGAACTGGTTGGCGTCTGCAAAGATCTGTGGCATGCAGAAGCTGAGCAGCGACCAGAGCTCCTTGAGGTTGTTCTGCAGGGGAGTGCCTGCATGGAGAGGGGCATTAAGGAAGGGGAGAGGGAGAGAGAGAATAAGATCAGAAGGTTTGTGGGAGATGTCTGGCAAGGTGGTTAATGAAGTTGAGGAGACATCCTATAGACGTATCATGGGGTGTACATGCAATATGCTAGGGCGGGCAGCAATGAGGCCGGTAGGCTTGTAAGCGCTCTGGATGCCGACAGCTTACCGTTGCCAAAGAAGCGTAAGATGCGGGGACATGCCGAAGTAGGACATTGCCAATGCCTAGGTGCGCAAGCCGTCTTACCCGTCAGCAGCAGGCGGCTGTCCATCTGCAAGCAGCGCAGCTCCCGCAGCAGCCGGCAGTCAAAGTTCTTGAGCCGGTGTCCCTGTGAACAAAAGAAGCAAGCAGGACCCGTAGATCAGGGAATTCTGGCCTGATTCTGGCTTGCTTTTATGCCGCACGACCAGGTCCACGCCACTCTTTCCTGCTCTTTCTATTCGGCGGCACCGAAACCTACCTGCCTACCTACTTTGCACGCTTAGTTTACTCTTTATCACCCACCGACCCACCCGCCCGCCACCACCCTTCCCTCACCTCGTCCACCGCCACCAGCTTCCACCTGTGCCGCTCCAGGTAGCGCCGGTCCGCCATCACGATCTCGTAGCTGGTCACGATGACCGGCATCTGCTGGCTGCCTGCACAGCGCAGCAAAGTGACACCATTGCATACCTACGTGACCATGCACGTCATTATACGTCTCGTTTCATGTTGCAGAGACCATGTTGCAGAGACGAGCTGCAAAGATGGGAGAATGTCACGACGGCCTTGCTTCTACAACTGCATAACGGTGTGTGACACCCAGTACACTTTCTGTCATCACCGCCTGCTATTCCGGCCATCTCATGGTTTAACCATGCTCCTATTCTTCGCCCCTTCAGCCCTCACCTCCCTGCTTCATGTGGGTACTGCGCAGCTCCTCGCGCTCCTGTGGCGTGCCGTGGTAAAGCAGCACGGGGATGTCCGGGCAGAAGCGGTTGAACTCCGACACCCAGTTGGGTAGCGTAGACAGCGGCCCCACCACCATGTATTTGCCGCTCGTGTCCTGCAGGGGGTGCAGCAGGGGCGGAAGTGTGATAACTTGCGGGGGTGTTCGGTAAGACTGGTAGGGCCCATGTATGCGCGCTGGGTGTGGCCAGTGTCCGGGTAAGGGCTGGCAGAGCGCGGTTCCTGCGTTGAAACGTATGAGCGGGAAAGCCGGGAACGGTTTTTTGCAGTGCGGATGTCATACAAAGGGGGGGAAGTAAAGACGACATAGTTCGCCATTATAGGAGGGAAGCAACACATCCGTCTCCCTCAAACTAGAGTCCTTCCCCAGCCCCAGGTTCCCACCTTGCAGTGCGTCCAGAGGTAGGAAATGAAGCCGATGGTTTGCAGCTGCGAGCCACGGGGTAGGGGGGCGGAGTAGGCGAATGCACTGACACTGAACAGTTCACGGTGTACTGCTATACAAAGAACGTGCAACCACAAATGACGGCACCGGGCCTGCTCCAAGGCTGGGAAGGACTCTGGCTCCCTGGCTGCATGGCTTTCCCATGGCTTTCCCATACCGCAACATCCCAATGGCTTGCCTCAACGAAGTCTACATGTGGAATTTAAACCTCATCATCTAGTGTACGGTGCTAGGAGCCGCACCGGCTTACCGTCTTGCCCAGCCCCATCTCATCAGCTAGGATGCCGTTGACGCCGTTCTTGTAGAGGCTGATCAGCCAAGCCACTCCTTTGAGTTGGTAGTCGCGCATCTCGGCGCGGATGAGGGGCAGAAGCCGCTGCAATGGCAGGGAAGCATGAGGTGAGAATGAAAAGAGGAGGGTCCAGGGAACGCAAGCGCAAGAACATGTGGTGGTCATGCAACTCGACACAGATGAGAGGCAGCCTCCTTTGACCGAGTTACAAGACGTTGGAAAATGGGGTTGGGATACCCTTTATGGGGAAGGGTTGGATGAATGACCGTTACAAGGAAGGGTTGTCAACAAGGGTGGGGAAAACTGCCGACGTGCAAGCATGGATACAAGGTGCTGCACTTTTTGGCAAAAGAAAGCCGTAAGCCTTTCATCAACCCTTCCACGGGTGGCCTAGCTATTGCAGCAACAGTTAATTGTACTCTCGTTTGTAAAGCCCCTAGGGCCCATAATCTTGTCCTCCTGAACCCGCACCTGGGTTGCAGTGGGCGGGGGTGGGGGTGCAGCTGCCTTCCTGCCACGCCCTGTCTTTGAGCGCTTGGCAGGCCGCTCTACCTCTTCTGCTACTCCAGAGCCGTTGGCAACAGCCATAGTGTGCTCGACAACGTCCTTAAACTGATCTGCAAGGAAGCTGCTATACATCTGTGATTTGCCCATGAGCTCCAATAGCTTAGCCCCAGCACGGCTGTCAGCCAGCCCCTCCTGCTAGACATTAAAACGGATTGTGCACATTTAAATAGCGTCAAAAGAAAAGCACCATTATCTAGAAAACCATGTCGCGGCAGTTGAAAATCCTAACCTGCGCCACTTCATCTTGCTCCGCGGTCTCTGCTGCTAAGCGCCTCTTGACAAGTTCACGCTCCTCGGCTAAGAGACGTTGGTCTACGAGGGCTCCCTCGCTGGTGTTGTCCTGCGTTCCAATCCCAATTCAAAAAACAGCTCTTCGCTTCTATGCAGTAGATCCTAAGCGATACGACTCAAGTCCCATAGCTAACGGTATCTGAACTATATGAACATTCCTACCTCAGTCACCCGCGATGGGGAGCGGTCAAGTTCGGCTTCCATGACTGCAGCCATTCTGCCCCTTGTTGTCAACTCAGGACGTTTACAGCTGTGAGCTGTGATTAAGCCAAGAGGTAACAACAAGTAAAAGCACACTGTGGAACGCACGACTGAAGGTAGAATTGCACGACAAGGCTATACAATGGTGCCCGCGGCCAATTGCAAAGGTGCGTTTGTGAGCACGTGCGCTTGACAGTGCATGACCTAAGAAATGTACGCATAAAGACAGAACTATTTCGCAGCCCTCTCGCTGAGTAGTTACCACCCTGTCCTGCGACGCTGCCCATCATGTCAAAGCAGGTTGGACAGGACGGCAGCAGCGCGTGCACGGCACTCCTTGTGCAACATTGCATTCTAGGAATGGGCCTTGGGGACATGTGTAGCGATGTACCACCAGGCTGTGGCAGTGTGTTAAGTATTGCTTGAGAAGTTGTGGTTAATCGTGGCAGCAGTGCAATCGTGTGTGACCTTCATTGTGATGTGTTCCTTCATGTGATGCATTTGAGCAAATCGGGCTTGCGGACATGAGGTTCCCTTTCCCTTTGCACAACAAACTGCACGGCTGTAACAGCTCTTTACAATTTGGTTCCCGATTAAAAAGAGGCAGCGGATTATCTTAATGGGAGGCTGGGCTGAGTTTGGAGAAAAAGTGCACCCGGTGAGATTTGAACTCACGCAGCTTTCGCTATGGGAAAGCTCATTCTCTAGCTTGAGACCCACCCGTTAGACCACTCCGGCACAGGTGCATACCGATTACTCGGCAAGCTGAACGGCTTGTCAGAAGGTGGGAATTGGAAGCCCATGTACCAGTCTACGCCTGGGCCAGAAGGCCACCCTCGTCCGGGAGAGCGCGTTTACGCGCGCAAAGCCTCATGTATGGTGGGTCACGCCGGGAGCGAGCCGTTGGAACAACCCCTGCACATGGCGATGGGCGTTGTGTCCTTGTTTGGGTGGGGTACGGTGGGTTGGCTGTCATTTTGGAGGGAGAGCAGGCGCTCGTCTTTATGTGGTTCAGCTGTGCGCGGAACCAGGCGCATGCTGGCATCTCAGAAAAAGTTGGGCTGCTGTCTGGGTAGGAAGTTGCTGTCGTGGGCAAATCATACCCCTATTCACATGCATACGCATGCCCCTGTCGACATCTGGCCTAGGGGCCAGCACAAAGCACATGCATGCAGGGGCGACGGCATGGTAAAGTCAGCCACCGAAGGCGGGCCTCCTGACGCGCACGGTCATGCATGCCGTGTCTGAGTAGGTCATGTCCACAGCTATTCTAGGGGGCAGCACACAGCATACACTACAGGGGCGGAGGCATATGGTGCATTCAACTGCCAACGGCTGGCTATCCGACGTGTACACCCATACCGTGGGTGATATAGCCAGCTAGGCAGTCGGGCAGGTAAATTGGATTGCATGAGTGGCTAGAAAATACCGGTAGTTTGCCACACACTGAAGTAGCGCGGTCCACGGCAACAGTTACGCCATAAATGGTGGGCACGCCGCGTCCGTCGTGCCAGCATGCACACATACCAAAGCTCACTGACAATAGAGCCTCAACTCCGGGACGCTAGGGGTTGGTAGCGGGCTGGGATGCAGGGCTTCGGCTGTTTTGGTGTGTCTAGCTGTGTACGGCACATGTAAACGTAACCACACATGCATACCATCCTACCCTCATGCAAGCGACAAACAAGTACGGTACTACAAAGTTGCCATCTGGACCAACAACCAAGCATGCACAACTTCAGTTCAATTCCTTGCAGCCTCGCCTCCGACTTCGTTTGCGACTACTCATCATTCCGCTTACCAGCAGCAACCGCTGGCAGCAGCTCCGGCACTGCACACAGCATGCGGCACATGTCCACGTAACCCAAACCGCCAGTACCTGCTGATGTGCACGACAAGTACGACAACCGCTGAAAGCCGTACGACAGGTCTTCCGTACGTATAGCCAGGACTTCCGGAACGCGTCGCAAGAAGCGGTAAAGCGCACGATCAAGCTCGGCTTCTTCGGATAGCTCCCCGGCCTCCGCGCGACCATCTGCTTCCCTCCGCAACAGTGAGCCTTCATTCTCATGTGCCGTCCCTTCTACATAATCATTGCCATCACCATCATGGCTGTGGCTGGATTCGCCACATTGCTCGACCAAGCCCCCCTGCAGCTGCTGCTCTTGACACCTTAGAATGTATGGCAGTCGTACATCGCCTGCCGCTGCCGACAACTCGTGCAGTGCCTGCCACAAGGCAGCAGGTGACCGGGGCTCTTTCGGCGCTGAACCCCCTGACAAGGCTGGTGATGGAGGTGAGAGGGGTGGGGGCCGGGCGACGGGGGACCCCAGCCTGTGGAAGAGGAGGTCGGGAGGGATGGGGGAGACGAGAAGTGATGGGGGTAGGGTGGAGTGGGGTGAGGAGGTTGGCGCCACTGGCGCTAGGATGCCAGTCCGTCGTGTTGAGTCAGCAGTGTGGTTGGTTCTGCGAAACCTTTGAAAGCCCATCTTTCGCACTCCCGGCAAATCCCGGCAGATCGAGATCGACGCACGCACTGCTCCAAACCCCAAACCCATCCCATCCTCTTGGGCCCCACAATCTCCTCCACGTACGGCACACACAGACGTGCACAACGTGATTACACAAGGGGCACCCTTCCTGTTCTTTGCCCCCATGTCCTCGTGCCCCAATACCGGCACTAACACCTGCAACGCGGTGTTGAGCTCCCCTCCTCCCCGCCGCCACAAACCACCTTGCACTTACCCACCTCCCAGACCCCCTCCTCCCCACCTGTGCCCCCTGCCTGCCCCCTTGATGACAACCGCTAGGAAGGCAATGACAGCGTCCAGCTGGGCAGGAGGCACGAACGCCAGGGAAGGGCGCCTGGGGAGCACCGGGGGAAGCGTGTCGAGGCAGAGGAGAGAAAAATATATTAGAAGGGAGGGAGGAGGGGATGGGAGCGGAAGGCACCACAAGGGCCCTCCGCCTCTGGGGGGCTAGAGTAGGGGTCCTTGCGGAGGGCGCGAAAGATAGATTGGACTTAGTAGAGGAGTGATGGCCGCACGCAGCTGAGCAGGAGGCATTGGGGCCAAGTGGTGGACCCCGCGGGCACTGGGTATGGATGGGAGGAGGCGCCCTGGTTTTAATGACGTGGGGGGAAGGTGTGGCATAGATGTGCAGGAGGAGTGTGGGGGCGGGGAGCAGTAGTGAAAGAGGGTGGCCGTGTGCGGGGACGGAGCTGCCTGTAAGGATTGCGACGGGGGCTGCCTCATGCCTACACACGTGCATGCAGGAAGGAAAGGGATTCGAGAATTAAAGCGGTTGGCAGGGATGGGGAGGAGGTGAAGGTGTGTTCGAGGTAGGTGTAAGTGCAGGTGCAAGGGAGCCGCAGGGGTCTACACGAGGTGCATCCTTCCCCCCTCCTCGCTTCCCGCCGCCATAATAGCAGCACACCTAGACATTGTGACAGAGCCTTCCATTACACCACATTTAGTGCCAGCTTGCAGCCGGTTGCATGAAGCACGGAACTACAAGTTCGCTGCATGTGAGCAAACTGCATGGAGCAAACATGCCCTCCCCCCCTCCACTCACACCCAAACACTCCCACCCTACCATCACCCACCTGGCCAGAAGTCCAAACACCTGCTCCTCCCCCATCCGCAACTCGTCCCGCAAGTGGAATACAAAGGTACGACAAGCACTGCCGTAATCCTCACAGTCCTGAGAGCTGCCGTACACGACATCTTCCCCTTTGTCGTACTCCGCACCCTGCTCGCTGGTGGCGAGGGGCACAAGGAGGAAGGCGGGGCAGGGGGCCAGCAGGGCAGCGGGGGACTGCACCTGCTTGCAGGAAGGTAAGGGGGGAGGGGCGGGAGAGGACGATGAAACTTCCTGCCTCAAACGGGAAGGGGATTAAGGGAGTCATGCAATTCGCAACGCACAGGAGGGTCCCCCGTATTCCTTGTATACAAATCTCTGCGCCTTCCCCACACTCTTGACCCGCAGACTTGACAGGGACCCCCACATCCCGCCTCCCCTAATCCCCACCCACTCCCAAGGCATAAGGCCTCTCCCCCCTGACCTGTAAGTCTGTCATGAGGGACACCCAGGCCGCCAGGTTGGACGGGGATACCTTGGGGAGGGGTGGGTGGGAGGATGAGGGGTACTGGGTGGGAGAGGTGGGGTGTACGGAAGTGAGGGAGGTAAGGCTGCCAATGGGCTATTGGGAGGGTCGGGCAATGGGTCGGAAACCCCTGGAGAACGCCCCTGGACGAAAACGACTTTATTTATACTAAAGTCGTTTTACTCAATGCTGGATGTAGCAAGCCGATGCGGCCATTCACGACGTACGACCTTTGAACCCCCCCGACCCACGGGTCACCGAACGGGCGTCGGACCCCCCGCGGACATCCTGCTTACCAGCATGTAGCGGGGCGATGCGGCCATGTACGGCAGAGCGGGAAGGAACTCCAACGCCCTCAGCCCGGCGCTCTTGGGAAAGAAGGGGTCGGCGTGGGCAGCAAGGGAATGGGTAGTGAGACAAAACAGACAAGCCCGTCCAAAAAGCATAAATGGGTGGTGGGGAGCGCCTGCGGCCGTATGCTTGGGTCCGGAGGGAGGGGGTGCAACGTGCCAGGGCGCCAAGGGAAATGACATCAGGCCAGTACGCCGTACCTGCCATAACAACTCCAAGAGCTCGTCCTCATTCATGCCGTACAGCCCAGCAGAGCGATAGTTTCCTCCGCACTTAACAGGTTCCATGCTGCTGCTGCTATTGCTGTCATCACCGTCGCTGGAGCAAGGGGTGCAGCCCACGCCGTGTACTGATCGGAAGCAGGGGCGAAGCCTGCAACATCCGATGTGGCTGACTTCTCCCCTTCCTCTGCAAAAGCTGCTACTACGCACACCATGGGCAACGGTCAGAAGGAAGAGGGACGACCTCGCTCCACAACTACCAGTGGAGCCAATAGCGCCGCTATGGCCGCTGTGGCTGATCATGCTGCTTCTGCTGACGCGGCTATGTCTGTAGCCAAGCTCCATACGACCACATCCAGTTTTCAAAGAATGTGCTGGGCTTGAAGGCATCGATCCGTATTGGGTGCTCTTGCGTGGCACATTCAGGTGTGGCTGGCTAGTCGGAAAGGCTGCCCGACATGCCACGCTTAGCTGAAAGAGTAGCCGCAGTGACAATAGATGTAGCGGCGACAAGTTGCATATTTGAAGCTCAACTTCGCGCTAGAAACTGTGTAATTCTAAAATGCAGCTCAATACATGGCTAACGGTTGCCGGTGCACCCGAACGTTTTCTTACACGAACGTCGGAGGTATCTGATCAGGCCTATTACCTTTATTAAACTGACAGAAGCCCGACACCTTAACGTTCAACACCAGCACGTTGTGTGCACCCTTCAATGTCACAAATGACAAATGGCACTTAGGAGCTAAAAGACAGCGATAAATGCCAAGCCTTTGCTTACTTCCATAGCTTTTACATGACTATGCCTACGCTTTGTTGAGTGTTCAGTCTCTCTTAATAAGGCCCAGCAGCTTCTCCCAAGTAGAGATCCTCTGCCAGAGAGTGCAATGATTGCTCTGTCTTTGCCGTATCTGTGCTTTACACTGGTTGGCTGCGTGAAACCTAGGAACGCGGCGTTCACCTTTCGTCGAACTCATGCAAGCGCACAATTGCTTTTTGCTGATTTTCTTTTAGGACGTAAGCTGGCCATTTAGCAAACATATCCGAGAATTGCATAGACGAACTGGATCTCAATCAAACCGGCTTCGCTAGACTTGAGAGTATAGTCGTGCGGCGCTCACTACGTTTCGCAAGGTTTGAAAGCTAAATGGGTACGGTGGAGGACACGTTCTGGACGGAATGCTAAGGCAAGTACACATGGTAGCGTGTCGGCAATCCGCGGGGCTTGCAGCGAGAACATTATGAGTTCGCGACAAATACTAGGCTCCGGAAGAATGTTTCCCTCCTGTTCTTGAAGCATGACAATACGGCTTTAGCGGGGTCCTCCTCGGCTGGGATACGAACAAACATTTTCGTCTTGTTCTTTCCGCAGCAGCACCATCGTCAACGATGGTGCAGCCATCCCTACGCCTCTCGGGCTTCCATCCCCACCTTCCTTGCCGCTGTCGGGGACCCGGACGCTGCTGTTTCATGTTCGGCCAGAACGACGGCGACTTGTCAACACCGTCGGTTGCTGCAGGACGGCCGCTTTTGGATCCAGTCGTTGTTTGAATGTGCCGGTGAGGCAGGAAGGGTATCAGGGGGTGTCAACGGTGTGGTGGCTGTTCAACCGCCGTGTTGATGCTCTGGGGTAACGGAAGCGAGAGTGTAGGGATACTCCCGCTGGCGCTTTGCATCTTCGGCAAGATACACTTCAGCACGTACCATATTTAGCTCTTGTTCTTGTGATCCAGTGCAGTGATTAGCATTGGGGAAGTCCTGTTTCGCTGCTGCCTGTACAACAAACACAATCATCCACCATGACCCCTATGCTGCTTGCATTTCATCCCATGTTGAATATGTAATGGGAGTCGTACTGTGCTGGCTGCACTGTCTCGGACAGCCATGCCAAGGCTTACGCTCTCATTACATGTACACATGAGGTTGACCTATCCACCCAAACCACTAATCCGCATGTCTTCCTTCCCATCCACTTCAGCACCAGCACAACCACCACCAGCGCTGTGACAACAACATCGAAGGCAGCCAGCAGGAAGGGTGGCGGCTGCAGCCGTCAGGAGAACACTCGTCGTCATGGGGCGGGAACGCGTTGGAGCACGCAGCCGCCTCCGCGCTTGCGGCACCTCAGCTACCGAGCGCAGCGACTGGACCACGAAGAGCGACTGGGGCGCCCGCCGTGCTGGTGGGGAGCCTTTCCTCAACCGCTAGCGGCCACCAGACTAGCCGTAGCAACAGCCTTGGCAGCAGCAGTGGCGGGAGAGGCAGGGGCTGCAGCACCGGTGCGTGTGGCGGAGGCGTGCAAAGAGCAGCAACCGCACAACAGCGACCTCTACCCCATGCGGTGGCAGTGAGGACCTCAATAAAAGCACCATCACAGGTGGGAGCAGCGGCGCAGGGCGCCAGCAGGGTGCCGACGCCTGCACCAGGGGAGGCAGCTCTCACGGCGGCTATTGTGGCGTGCGACAGCTGGGAGGTGCGTGATGGGGCGGCGCGGGAGACCCATGGGTCAGACGCGATGATGGAAAGGGGGGCTGATGCTCCAGCGAATTGGGCACTAGTCGTGTGTGTGAAAGACAGGTGCATGTGTCACGTGGGTCACGCGGGTCAGGCGGGGAATAAGTACTCGTTCCATACCAGTATAGGGAAGCTTTGGGTACCGGTATACAGTTACCCAGTTAGCAGCCCTCGGCCCTGAAGGCAGGCCCCTCTACCCGCCAACGCTCTTCGTCCCCTACGTCCCCCTACCCCCCTCAGGCACTGGCGTCCCTCCTCGCCCCCCGCCGCGACTCGCTCAACCCCACCCACGTGACTGCGGCGCTGGTGGTCCTGGCGAGACTGAGAGGGAGCGGGGGGGCGGAGGGGAGCCATGGTGGCGGCTTGCCAGGAGGCGGGAGACGAAGAGAAGCAGATGCATCCCCAGCAGCAGCCACAACAGCCACAAGGGCTACACGTCCGCAGGTGTACGGCAGTCTATCAGGGCTTGCCAACGACCTCTGTGCGGTTGCCGTTGTACGGCAACTGCCGTACATGTCGGCTCGTGAGGTCAGCAACTTCACGTGGGCTTTGGCGCGGCTGGCACCTGTGATCGTACGACGGCCGGCAGAGGCGGTTGCAGCAACAGCGAGTGATGTGGCAGCAACAGAACGGATGGCGGTAACAGCAGCAGAAGCTGAGGTAACCGTAACGCTACCAGTTGCAGTGGCAGCCCTGCAGGCCGCCTGCCACCAGCACTGGTCACAGTTCACAACACGAGAGCTAGTCATGCTGCTGTACGGCATGGTACGGCTGGATCCAACAATCCTGCCGTACGACCTTTCTAGCGCCCCCACCCCCACCCCAACGACCATTTCTCCGTCGCCGCCGCCAACACACCCGCCCTCCTCTTCCGCGCACTCCCCTTCCACCTCCACCCCCTCCTCTTCCTCCTGGCTTGCCGCCTGGTTCACCGCCTCCGAGCCGCACCTGCCCTCCCTCGGCCCCCGTGGACTGCACCTCACGCTGTGGGCACTCGCGCAGGTGTGGACTCCCCCCCGCCACACTGTCCGCGCCCGCGACCTCCGCAACCTCCGCAACCACCAAACCCTCAGCCACAGCCATGACAGCCGGCCGGCCCCATGTGTCGTACGGCTACCGCCTCCGCCCGCTTCCTGGGTTGTACGGCTGCGAGTACGGCTGGCGGCCCAGCTGCCGCACCTGCACGCGGGGCCGCTGGTGCGGGTTGCCTGGGGGCTAGCGAGGCTACAGCCCTGGCTTATGCCGGGGACGGTGAGGACGCCGGCAGCAGCAGCAGGAGCGGAAGAAGCAGCAGCAGCAGGCGGAGGCAGCATTGAGGGTGGAGAGCCACCTAGGGAAGAGCCCTGCGTGCTCACGCCGCAGGCCGGCAGCGACCCCGCCAGCCCCCCCGCACTGCTAGCTGCGCTTGTGCGGTACGGAACTCGGCGTGTGCCGTGCATGGGGTCGCTGCGGGACCTGGCGCAGTTCGCCTGGGCGGTGGCGAGGCTGCGAACCAAGGTGGGGGACGGGGGGCCAGTGGGGAAGGGAAGGGAGGGAAGGGCTTGGCGATCGTGGAGCATGTCGGTTAGGGAGGCAGCAGCGGCCACGGAGGCGGCGACAGCGGTGGCTAGCGTGCCGGCGGCAGCAGGCAGCGTGAGGCAGCAGCTCTCGGGAGAGGTGGAGGGGCTGGAAGGGGAGGCGGCGGGACCAGCACGCGCAAGCGCCGCTGCTGCTGTGCCGACCATTGCGATTGCAGCACCTGCACATGGAGGGACGTTGGAGCCTGTCGTACAACCGGCAACGTCACCAGGGGTTGCAGATGAAGAGCAGGAGGAGCAGGCAAGCGCAGGAAGCCAGCTTCCGGGCGGCCGGTCTACGCATGTAGCCCTGTTGAAACGCCCTCCGCGATCCGCGCGTCCTCTTCAGCCGCTTCCGTCGCCAGGGTCAGCAACGGCATGGGACGCACCGCAGCAGCCTACGCCAGCGCCTCACCACCTGCAGGATCAGCAACCCGTGGCTGCATTACCCTGCGGACAGCACCCGCAGCAGCACCATCCGGGGCAGCAGCATCCCCAGCATGCGCAGCAGCCACTTGCTTTGCCCCGTGAAGCTTTCACTTCACAACAACCGTCATTTGGCAGTAGTGGCAGCCACGACGCTAGCGGCAGTAGCACTCCATGGCGCACACAGCTGAGCCAATCGCAGCTTCTGCTCATGTATGGGGTGCCGGGCGCAGCTCCAGAAGAGCAGCAGAATCCGCAGCGGGAGAGGCGGCGGGGGAGACATCGGCAGCAGCGGCAGCAATGCCGCGATGCCACCAGCCAGGGGGGCAGTTGCTGGGGTTCTGATGCCGGGGAGGAGTCCAGCAATGCGGAGAGGGGCTTTGAGGAGGTTGACGGAGTACCAAAGCCGAACAGCGGCTGGACTCCGGAGCGGCGACAAGAACAGCGGGGGCAGTGGCAGCGGGAGCAGCAGGGGCAGTGGCAGCAGGAGCAGCAGGGGCAGTGGCAGCGGGAGCAGCAGGGGCAGTGGCAGCAGGAGCAGCAGGGGCAGTGGCAGCAGGAGCAGCAGGGGCAGTGGCAGCAGGAGCAGCAGGGGCAGTGGCAGCAGGAGCAGCAGGGGCAGTGGCAGCGGGAGCAGCAGGGGCAGTGGCAGCAGGAGCAGCAGGGGCAGTGGCAGCGGGAGCAGCAGGGGCAGTGGCAGCAGGAGCAGCAGGGGCAGTGGCAGCAGGAGCAGCAGGGGCAGTGGCAGCAGGAGCAGCAGGGGCAGTGGCAGCAGGAGCGGTGGCAGCAGGAACAGCAGTGGCAGTGGCAACAAGAACAGCAGTGGCAGTCGCAGCAGGGACAGCTATGGCAGCAGCAAGGGGGTCATCCGCCTCGGCCCCCTGCACGCCTAGGCCCCTACCCGCAGCAAGCACCACTGCCGCCACCGCCGCCAGTAGCACAGCAACCGCCGCAGCAGGGCTCTCCTCCCTGCCACCTGCAGCAGCAGCAGCAGCGGTGGGCGTCGACGGTTCTTGGAACCTACCCGCGGCAGCCACCACTGCCGCCGGCAGCCCTACCGCCCGCGCTTCTACAGTCACTGCCGGAACGTGCTCAACACCTTGACCAATACCAATACTCTCAGCAGCAGCAGCAGCAGCTGCTGCGGCGCTTGCACGCTCACCCGGATCACCCGCAGCAGCAACTGCAACATCAGCACTTGCAGCCCCAGCTACCACCACCGGGGTTTGGATCCCAGCCCTCTTTCTCCCCAATCCAAAACCCTCAACATCCCCCTCCACGGGCACAACAGCAGCAGCCGTGGATGCAGCAGCAGCCGTGGATGCATCAGCAGCCACAACAGCGGCTGCTGCAACGGCTGCAACCACACTCGCAACCACAGCAGCAGCGGGATCCACGGCGCCAGCAGCACCGAAGGCAGCAGGGTCCACAGCAGCCGCCCCCGCAGCAGGACCCCGAGGCTCAACGCTTGGATCAGTTGGGCCGCCTGGTGTTGCAGCGCTGGCAGCAGCTGTGTGAGGGGCTGGCCCGGAAGCAGCAACCCACCCCCCTGGAGCTGGCGGTGTTGTGCGGTGCATGTGTGCGACTGGGCTGGCAGCCGCCGCTGGCACTGGTGCGGCGCTGGACGAGACGGGCGCTGGCGAGGGGACGCGCCGCGCAGTGGAGCGCGATGGTGGGTGCAATGAGGGGAGGGGGTAACGGGGTTCGGGGCTGTGGGTCTGCGGGTTTGGACCATCATGGCTTCTTGGCGTTAACCTTGCTGCAAGCAGGTTTGGATGCAGCGATGGCGCTTGCCTGGTTACTACTTCCCGTAACCTCACTTCGCCTTTCGTCCAACGCATGAGGGCGTTTACATCTCTGACGAGGTGAAGCCACCCGCCCACCCCTTTTACCTCTCTGCCTCTCTCTTCCACCTCTCCCTCCCCGCCCCCGCTCCCACCCAGGGTCTCACCAGTCTGCTCCGCCTGGCCTCCCGCTACCCCGAGCTGCGCCTGTCCCGGATGCCGATGCTGGCAGGGAGGGCGATAGGCAGGGCGGCAGCTGCAGGACAACCATCACCACCCCACCATCCACCACCCAGGCTGCGTGCCGTACACTCCGCTCGCACGCTGCTTGCCCTGGCCGGGGCGCGACTTAGGTTGCGGGTGCGGAGCCGGCCGAGCGGCCACCAAGCCAGCAGTTCCGGCAGCAGTTCTGTGTCCGTTCCTCTCTCGCAGCAGGAGCAACAGCAAGAACAGCAGCAGCTAGGACCGCAGCAGCTGCCCGTGGGTTGGCGCAGCTGTGCTGCTGCGGCAGTTTCCTCGTCTGAGGACTATACTAGCAGCAGCACGGGTACGGCAACATGTGGCGATTTTGCTAACACCGATAGCAGCAGCAGTAGCGACGGCAGCGCAACCATGACTGCGACTACCTTTGCCGCTGATTCCAACGCTGTCGTACTCGGCGCCTGGATGACCCTCATGCGCTCCTTACCCAGCTGTACGACAGATCCGGTGGCTGCCACTGCGGGCTTCGTACATGGTACGACAGAGGACCTGATCGTGGCGGTGAAGGCGGCGGCACAGCTTCGTGTGCGACCCCGCGCCTGGCAGCTGCCACGCATCCATGCGGCGTTGCTGCAACTGCCGCCGTACGACAACAACCCAACTACCGGTCCGGCCACCGTAACCGCCGTGCCCAGCGCTTCTTCCATGACCGCCTGCACTGCTGCCTTACCGGCCCACCCACCGCCCCCCCTGCCGGGTGTTCCCGACTCCAAGCTGCTGCCGCTCCTGATCCCCCTGGCGCGACTGCAACAGCGGGCTGGAGGGAGGGAGGCGGCGGCGGTGGGAGGGGCAGGGGCAGCAGCAGTGGTGGTGGGAGAATGTGAGGGAGGGGCAGCAGCGGAAGCTGGGCCAACTGCAGCAGCAGCAACAGCCGTTGCGACGGCAGAAGGATCTCAACAGCAGCCCACCATCACCACCACTTCTAACACAGCGTCGGCTGCCACTGCGCAGCTCGTCCATGCGCTTGTCGTACGATGTACAGCACTGCTGCTGGGGCGGCGGCTGTCATTGCGGGGGCTAGCCGGCATGGGGTGGGCAGTCGGAGTGATGTTGAAGTGTACCGCACACTCAGCCGACCTCATTGCCGTACGGCTGTGGTATGACACCTGGTCTCGTTGTTTGTCGCACTACGATGTGGCAGCTGCTCCGGTTTCGGAGCTGTGTGACGTACTGTCGGCCTGGGCGGAGCTGCAGCGAAGCAGTGCCGGCAGCGGCAGCAGCGAGGGTGTTGGCAGTGGCAGTGCTGCCGGAGGTGACGGCAGTAGCAGTAGCTGCTACGGTTTGGGGAGTGGGAGTGAAAGCGCATCTGCTGTGGGAGGGTTGGCGGTGGAGGTGGATAGACGCACTCGAACCCGGGTGCTGGCGCGGTGAGTGGAGGGGACTGGGATGAGAAAGGGGCCGAGAGATGGGGTGGGATGGACCAGGCTGCGGGTGCGATAGGGAAGTGTATGTTGAATCAAAGGGTTTGGATTTGAGTGATGAGGTGAGCTCTGGGGATCAGGGGCGCAGGCATAGGGGAGCTGGGTGAAGGAGGCGGCGATGGTGCCGGTGGCTGTGGTTGTGGAGAAAAGAAATAGTACTGGAGTCAGAAGACCGCGAGCGTGAAGGGGTCCCACCTCCAAAATCGTGACTAACCACCTATTCCAACCAAAAGCGCTCTCATTTTTCCTCCCTGCTAACCGCTTGCCTCCTCTCCTGCCCCCCTCCCTCGCAGTCTCGCCCCTGTCCTCCCCTCGCTGCCCGCTCCCCGCCTCTCCGCCCTCTCCCACCACCTGGCCACCCTCCGCTGGCCCCTCCCGCCCGCCTGGGTGCAATGGCTGGAGGAGTGCAGAAGTACGGCAGCGGCCGGCCAACGCGCTCGTGCGGCAGCAGGGTGTGATGCAGGAGGGGGGCGCGGTACGGCAGCAGGTGATGGTGCAGGGCTCCGCCGTACGGCAGAAGATGCTTAACGTTGTCTTATCGGAGGAGCAGGAAGGCAGGGCAGAACACTGTACGGTTGCTAAGTAGATGTGCAGGGCAGTAATATACATTTAATGATAGTAGCAGCTGTAGGCTGGAGGTTTGGTGCAGTAGCAGTGGCGTCCGTACAAGCGGATATAGGTGATATCCAGAGAGGAAGTAAGTATCAGGTTCAGGACCAATCGGGGATCCTGGTTCTAACCCTAGATAGACTCACATAGACGCTTGAATTGTAGTCGCCAGCAGTGTCGTACCTTGTGCCCAGGAGTTAAGTTGCAGGAACCTGCGCGTCACCCTGTAATGTGTCCAGGGGGCAATGGAAGAGGTCGTGGGCTTGCAGCGCGATAGAACCCCCTGGACAGTTGTGAACTGTGCATACAACGGGTTGGCTCGCTGGGTGTCTGGTGTAGTTGGTGTTGGGGGAAGCTCCTTATCACGTAGGCTTCCATATTACGCTGGAGGCACATGGCAAGAAGCCCTGAGCTCAGTTTAGGGTACGGAGAGGGAAGACTGGTTGCGGGTCCGTTCAAAAAGGGCCTTGTGTGCGGTGTTCTGTGGTGTGCTAGGGCTACAGCAGAGAAAGGGGATGAGGAGAGGGGATCGCAGTAGGGATGGCATCCATGCGAACGGAGGGGCCGGACCGACTTGGGATCAGGGTGTGTACGGCAAACACTATTTTGGCAGCATCAACACATGAGAAGAGTTACAAGGTGCATGTCCAATACAGGCGATCATAGGTCAGTATTTAGGGCGAGACTGATAGTTAGAACGGGAGTTCAGCTGCAATTTAACGCTCGCTTCAGGTTGCCTGGCGCGTCGTGTCATGGCGGTAGCCGTCTCGGAGCAGCGGGCGCATACCGAGGCGCTTTCCCTTTTGTGGTTAATGATTCTATATCCGTCATGGCCATGAAGACCAAACAGCCTCTCTGCTAACGCAAAGGCGTAAGCAGCCCCCTCATGACCACCCCACCCTGGCCTCACTAGGCATTCCCGAACTTCCACGCCCTTCACAGGTGCTCGTCTTATCCCTCTTATGTGTAAAGCAATCGTGTGCATGTCAGTCACGGGCCTCCCTGCTTCGCGCCGTTGCCGCTAACGCTACCGTCAAGGTACGGCGCTGGAGGTACCGTCGTGCAATGTCCTATTATGCACTCCTCACGTAAGCCCTGTCCGTAACAACAGACTCCTCCTTCAAGTGGGTACAAGACCTCCTGCCTTTCGTCCCCTGCCCCTACCGCCTTCTCCCATAGCTGCTACCACCAACCTCGGACAAGAGCCCCCCAGGGAACCGCTTGTCCCGAAGTCACAAATCCTTCTGCATGGCACCCTACGTGGGTACGACCCCGCCCCTGCTCTCGCCCGCTCCTCCCGCCAGCGCCGCCAGCAGCAGCCCCGTCATGAGCCCCAGTGGCAGCGCCACCGCCCACTTGAGCAGCCGGTGGAAGGACATGTGGAAGGAGAGCAGGAACTCGTCGGCGTACAGCAGCCCGCTGCCGTCAACCAGCTCCAACCGCACGATGGCGGAGGCCTGGGGAAGGAATGGGTTGGGGGAGAGGGGTAGGACAAAGACCATATCATACTATAAGAAACCAGGGTAGGTTAGGGGTAGGGGGAAGCATTGAAAAGGGTAAGGTAATGGCCATGCAGCCGGTGACTCTACCTCCTTTATCCCTAACCTCCCCCTTTTGCCGGTAAACCCCCTACCCCCGCTTACCAGCGTCCTGGGGCAGGGGATGTCCACTGTGTACCTGCCGGGTGCGGGGAAGGAGTCCGCCACCCCGACCACCGGGGCGTCTCCCGCACCCATCTCACGGACACCCACACCCTGAGGCGAGGGGGAGGAGGAGGGGGAGGAGGTTGTACGGCGGAGGTTGTTAAGGGAATGTGAAAGCGTCCTTCCACAAAGCATCCTTCCTCGCGTCCAGTTTCCTCCAACACACACCTTGAGTACGACCGTCACGTTGTACGGCCCCCGTCCCCCCGGCATGAGGGTGCCGTTCTCCGCAAACGCCAGCCGCTTGTCCAGCAGCTCGAACGCCACCTGCAGCCGCTCGCCCGCCACGTCGCGGGGACGGCGGGAGGGGCCGGTGGCGGAGATACCCACGTAGCCGTAGCGAGCCACCTGACCGTTGGGACCCAGCACCTGCGGACAGGGTACGACATGGGAGGGAAGGAGGGAGGGAAGGAGGGAGGGAAGGAGGGAGGGAAGGAGGGAGGGAGGGAACGGGGGGTGGGGAGAATGTACGGCATATTATGCATTCACGCCGACGCCACCCATGAGGTTATGGGTAGGTAAGAACGTCGGGAGGCATGACCGGCCGGACCCCACCCACCCGTTCTGTTTCACAGTCGTTGGTGCCATGCATACACGCATACACAGTGGCACGCCCGCCCGGCTTTACAAACCCTCCCTCCCCACACCCCGCCCCAGCCCCCCACCTGCTCCGTCCATGTTGCCAGCGGGTGGTACGGCGCCCCCGTCTCCCATGCGTACACGTTGCCGCTCATGGTGGTCGCCAGCAGCTCCAGCGCTCCGTCGCCGTCCAGGTCGTCCACCAGCACGGCGGAGTAGGAGGTCTCGCCCAGGTCGGCCACGTCAGCACAGCCCTGCAGGAAAGGGGGGGAGTGGAGGGGGAAAAAGTGAGGGAAGAAACTGACGAGCTGTGGGACGAGGCTTCATCATGGGTTGCTACATTGGACCCGGCCCAGCCAGCGGGGGAGGGGAAGGCAGGAGGGAAGGAGGAGTTGGGGCGAGTGCGGTAAGTTACGGCTCTGGGTGCTGTGTTTTCCCACATCTGCAGCCCCCGCACCCACACCCACCTGCAAGCCGTCAATGACGTACAGGAAGCCATCGAAGGCGGGAACCACAACCTGTTGGGGCGGGGGAAGCGATGGGAAGGGGCGGGTGGGCGGGTAAAGAGAGGTCTTGCAGGTTTTGGAGCCAACGAACGGGCTGCTGGGGTTGCTGGGATGTACTCGACGCGAAACCCAGTTTCCAAACCGCAACCCTCTCTTCCCCTCACCTGCAGCCCGCTTCCCTCAATGAGGTGAGTGATGGTGGGGGGAGCTTGGACCCTGAGAAGGGAAGGGCAGAGGGGGAGAAGGGAGAGGAAAAGAGGAAGAAAGGTGGGGAACAAAGAAATTCCAAAGTGTGGTGTGAAGGTGGGGGAGGGTGAAGGAAGAGGGAGTTGCGGTTAGGTTGGCTGGCTGGTTCTGTTGGAGCCTCTCACCGTACCTCCCATACACCTTCCAAAGTTCCAATCCGTTCCCCTATCCCGCCTGTCGCATCCACCTACCCCTACCATCCCTTCGTCCATCCAACCCCTTCATCCTCCCACCCGCTACGTCCGCAACTCCCGGCCTCCACGCTTACCTGCCACGTGCGCGGTAGGGCCAGTTGGGTATGTCCAAGCCTGCGAGGGGAGCAGACGGAAGCGGTCGATAATTGAGTCTTGGCAAACCAACATTTCACAAGAACGTGTTGCTACTGTTTTACACGCACGCAAGGATGCAGTGCTGCGGTGGAAAGGGAGCACCGGGGCGAGCAGCCACCGCCCGTGTTGTCAAAAGCACGGTTGCCCAAGCGTCGTTCGCAAACCCCCCCCCCCCACATGCCTTCCGCCGTACAGCCTAACCATAGCCGTCTCATTTTCCCCACCGCTTCCTTCCTCCACCGTCTCCTACCTTCTCCCCGCTTTTCCACCTTATCTTTACCCTCCCATCTCCTGTTCCTCCCCTCTTCCTCCCCCACCTGTAGACCCGGCTAGGGCGTAGATGTAGCCACTGCTGGTTCCCAACACCACCTGAGGAAGACGGGGTGACATGCGTTTGTTGGGGTAGAAGCGAAGACACTGGTCGGCATCCCGGAATGTTTGCATGGCAGTATCGCGCGCGGGGCAGCACACCTGGTTACACGGCGCTTTCCCTCATTCATCCCCTTCAACTCCCCAGTACCCCCCAACCCCCGGCCCCCAACTCGCCTCCAGCTGTCCGTCGCCGTCGATGTCTCCCGCCACAGCGCCCTGAAGGGGGGGGCGTTGGTGCATGGTTGGATGCATGGCGCTGTGTCGAATTGCAATGTGGGGGAATGAGGATACCGGTAGTCCGGGTTTGCAAATTGCTGTCGTTGATTCCCAGACACGCAACAGGAACACCGAACCGCATTGCATGGCCATTGCATGGACTTCCGCTCCCAAAGCCAACCCACATACTGCGTAGTGACGTAACATGACGGCACGCACATCGCAATCGCCCACGCCCCCTCCCCCTAGCGCCCCCGTTGTACCTGCGATATGGCGGACCGCAGGTGCCGCTCCCAGAGCTCCTCGGCCCGGGAGTTGAAGGCAGCCAGGTTGCCGCGCATGTCGCCTGTGGGATGATGAGGTGGGGGAGGGGATGGTGAGTGTTGTGAAGGTGTTTGTCATATATGCAAGCTGAGTAGTTGGGTGGGATGGGGTGGGGGGAGAGAAGCGGCCATGTTGCCGATCATGCTCCCCTTGGTCGTGAGACCAGCCCATTCCTCCCACAGCCCTTGCCCTTGGCTCCTTGTCCAGCTTGCATTACCGTGCTTAGCACACACACTGCACCACAAACACATCCCCTAACCCCCTCAGCTTGTTTTACCCCCCTACTTGTTTACTCCCCCCCTACTCACCCACCACCACCTCCAGCTCTCCGTCGTTGTTCACATCCGCCACCAGCGGTTGAGCCTGGATCTCACCCATCTGGAGGGGCCAGCCGGGCAGCGGGGAGCCGCTGGGGGGGGGGAGAAGGGGGGGGGGAATCCGGGTCGTAGAAGGGCACGGGTGTGTTTCGACATACATGGGTCAATGGACTGAACCGGGCTGTGACTATTAGGGGCCATCACCACCTCCATCCAGCCGGGCTGTCTTTAGTCGCACACTATAATGCATAAACAGAACTTGCGAACTATAAGAGTACGACACTGTACGACTTTGCTGTACAGTTGTGTACAACTCACGTGTGGTCCAGCACGTACAGGAACCCCATGGATGTGCCCACCACCACCTCCAGCTTGCCGTCCCCGTTCAGGTCGACCAGCGTGGGGGCGGAGTAGGCGAAGGCCTGCGGGGAGGAGGAGGGAGGGAGAGGGGTGAAGGGTTGAGAAGAGGTGGGGGGGTGAGATGCAGCAGTCATCGTGCAAAATTAATTCCCAACACCCCACCCACCTTTGCATTATGCTATTTCTCTAGATTTCCTGGCTAGGCCTCTGCCCATTCAATTTTAAAACCCTTGGGCAAAGCACAGCACGACCATCCAATGCACCCAAAGACTGCGCTCCGAACCCGCACTGCCGTATCAACATGCCCCTGCTGCTGCCGTATACCTTGTACTGCGTCGAGTCCGTGGAGAGGTCCAGGTGCTGCACCCACTTCTCCGTGCGAGTGCGCAGATCGAACACAGCTATGCCGCCTGCATGGGTGGGTGGGGGGTGTTTGTGTGTTAGTAAGAGGGTGGTGGGTAGGTAGGTGGCAGTGTAGAGCACTGCAACGCTTCCCTTGCCCCCTTGCCCCATTGATCTAGTAAAAGATATGGCACACCAAACATAGTGTTGCGTTGCGATAATGCTAGGGGATGCAAATTGCACTTTACAGTACTATTGCTAGCACGCTGCCACAGCTTTATTGCGATCGACGTCGTACAGCGCGTCATTATCAACCTCAAGTATGCTGAGGGGGTGACCTTGCCGTACATTGCTACCTATCGTACTCACTTGCGACGTACTTCCCAATGTCGATGTCCTGAAGGGCGAAGCAAGTCCGAAGAAGCAACAGCCAAGGGGGGTTGGGTTGGGGAGTGCGGGGCGAGACGGTGAGGAGCGGGTTGGTGGGGCCGAGGGGAGGGAAGGACACGGGTCAGAGGCAAGGAGAGATGGAGGGTCGGTTTCATCTATGGGTAAATTTCTGCTTTGGTTACCATTCTCGCCTGTTCGCTTGATTACTGCCAATAACACGTTTTCGGCCCTGCCTGCCTGTCACGCCCGAGCACATGTGGGGCCTTGGTGACCGGAATCTTGACATCAACACAGTATTGCAGTAGACAACTGAAACAGCCAGCTCTCTTCCGCCCGCAAGCTGGAGGGTCAACAGATCATCGCCACCGCGAGCTCGGCACCGGTAGGGAATGCTAGCCAACACTCTGTATTGTGGCTCCTGCCGCCTCCTATCCCCATTGCTTTGCCGTAACCTGTGGTTTCCTATGGTTCGGTATAGCCTTTGATCCCCCTCCCCAGGCCGCCAGACACATACCTTGAGGTCTTTGGCGTGCTCGGGATCATCGTAGTACTCCCTTGATGGGGGGGAGGGGAGGGTGGAAAGGAGTTGGAGGCAGAGGGTGACGTTGTTACGGGTACGACAGGTTCAGGACACATGCGACGGACTGGGTCACCAGTGCTGTAAACGCCCCCGTCAAACCAATATGCAACACCAACACCACCAACACGACCGGCAGCAACCTCAGCTCAGTTACGGCCGCTCATATCCTCCTGCCAAAACCAATTCTTGCCGTTCCTGACCCTTGCGAACTGCCGTACAGATCTCAACCAAGATCCACTTCCTTCCCCTCACCTGTCGTAAAAGTACGACACAGCCACCACCAGCTCATCATGCCCATCTCCGTCGATGTCGGCGATGGCGGGGTTGGCCATGATGTGCGGGTCCACGTAGACGTAGCCGGCGGAGGCGGTGGGGTGGGTGGACTGGGGGAAGAGGCAGGGAGGGGGAGAGGCAGGGAAGGGAGCGGTCGAGTGATGCGAACCAGGGGGAGGGTCCTGGGGCGCGTGTTAGCATGGAGCAGGTAGGGTTCACGGAAGTGCAACCGCAATGCCACCACCATCACCCTTTACCGCCCCCCTAACTGTGTATGGACATTAGCCCCCCCCCACCTGCGTGAACTCCTCATCCGCCCAGCCTCTTCCCCTGCCCCCACTGCTGCCTCCGCCGCTGCTGCTGATGTAATCTCCCAAGTAGAGGTGCTTGTAGCTGTCAACTACCAGCTCGTCGGCGTCGGCGGCACGAGGGTCGACTGGGGAGGTGGGGGGGAGGGGGAGGGAGAAAAAGATCCATGGGGCAGGTGGGAGGGAAGGGAAAGGGGGTTAGGAGAGGGGCGGGGTTTGGGATGGGGGACGAGCGGGAGGGAGGGGGGAGGAGGTGCTTCTAGCTGCTCATTAGAAAGTACCAATTCTGTGTCGGTGATGCCCCCTTCCCTCCTTACGCCAACTTACCTCCATGCTCATGCTCCCCTGCCGTACCCTCTACATAGGCTGCCGTACTCTCCAGGTCTCCAAACTCGTCGTACTGCAACCGCCCCAGGAAGCTATCAAGCTCCCCGATACTGCCAGGATCCAGACTTGCAGCACCGCTGTTACCCGCGGCAATAGCGGCTTCAGCTGCATCATGCGTTTCGTGGTGTCGTATCCTCTCCGCGAGAAGCGCGGCGGCGGCCTCCGCCTCCGCTCGAGCAGTAGCGTCATCAGTTGCCGTACCGTCGTTGGCGTTATTGTTAAAGAAGATATCGAAGGAATCCGCGGCCTCCTTGCTAATAACCTCGCCCTCGCCAGCCGTCTCCACAGTTGCGGCATTTCCACCGCTGTTACCGTTTGCCGTGCTTTGAGCATCTGCTTGTAGCAACCGCCGACGGGCCGTCGTACTGCTACTGCCACTACTATCAGATGTCGTACCGGGATGTACGGTAGCGAGTAACGACTCCCGTAACGCCTGCATCACGGCCTGGTAGAATACGGCATTGGTGTTGCGGGCTTCCGACATGAGCTTGTCAGCGGCGGCATCGCCGTACTTTTGCCTGTGGTGTACGACAAGGGGACGGGGAGAAGTTTTAGGGGATGGGAGGGCAAGCTTTGGCAGGAAGTTGGGATGCGCTTACAGTGTGTTGCAGATGGTTTTGAGGTCAGCAAGCGTTGGTGCACAGGTGGGAACGATGCCGTCAAGCCTTCCCATATAGGGTAGTCCTAAACATATACACCCCATCTGAAACGCAAGAAGGTACCCTTTCGGTCATACACACAACGATAGCCATACTACAGTCGTCTCCCTCATCCACACCTGTACTCCGTGATTTGCCGCACAAATTTCCGCACTCGTTCCTCCATGGATGTTGCCGGGTGAGAGGCAGTCACCTGTTTGGGGGTGTCGGAGCCTCCTCGGGGCCTCCTGCCTCTACCGCCGCCGTCGCCGCTGCCATTGCCCTACGAGCGCATGTACCGGTAGCTTGGCGCAAACATGAGTACCGGTACTAGGCATGCGAGCTCCGTGTACGATATCGCTTCTTCCTACATTACCTCTTCATGCACGCGCCCAAACGATTTGGCACACCTCTGACGCGCCCCCCTCCCCCTCTCCCTGCGTGACTTGGGCCAAGGGATTGGAGATCCAGTGCTCACCTCTCCTTAACCCCTCACAAGCCCACCTCCACCACCCCTACCTTTCCTCCTCCGGGGGCCCCCTGTCCGTCCCCCACGTCAGGGTGCGAGTGGTCGAAGGGGTCTTGCGGGTCCAACCCCACGTACCAGTCCTGCAGGCGTCGGGGCCGGGAGAGTGGGCGGATGTGTACGTCACGTGAGATACGTACGACTGTTTTGCCGCGCACACGTGATTAAGGGGGATGGGGGAGTGCATACACAGTTACTTGTGTCACAGGGTTCTTTCGGGTCATAGCTTAAAGCCCCATTTGCCATTTCCCAGCGTGTTGGTGCATCGGGTGTTTGGGTCTTTTAGTCGTGGCTGGAAACAGTATGAGTGTCACAAGGCGAGGGCGACCACGCCAGTGTAAGGAATTGTGAGATGGGATCAGAGGAACGCGAACAAACTCGCCACTCTTCTCCCCTCCAACCCCTCACCTTCCTGACCCTCAGCCGGCTAATCTGGAGCCCCTCTGGCAGCTTGTCACCCTGCCAGGGAGGGGAGGTGCGGAGGGTTACTAACAGGCGAAACAGAAAACCTGATAACCAAACGCGGAGGCGTTGCCCTTTTGCCCTCGCAAAGATACGTGCATCTCATAAAAGCACGCATCATACCGTGTCTTTAAAGAACATGATTTGACCGTCGTACGTGGCCAGCAGGATGTCCCGTACGCCGTCAAAGTCAATGTCGTACAGCAGGGGTGAGGCGTGTACGGAGGAGGCGTGGAAGGCGGGCCACCCCACCGCCTGGCCGCCGTTGGGACCCTCGAACACCTGCGGGGGGAGGGGAGGGTAAAGAGGAACATGCTAACTAACGGTGTGGCAAGGCGTCACCATGTGTTGCACCATGGTTGGTTGGGTGTGGTTGGGTCACACATAAGGCTCAACCATGGGGTGGGGTGTCGTACAACCGGACCGGCGCGGGAACGAAGCGAAGGCGAGGGTATGGTGGGTGGGCTGGGTTGGGCGCACTGATTGTAGGAAGGGAGGGGAGATGCGCCTAGAGGCGACCATGGGTCCACCCGTTGGACTACGTTGCTTAGCATGGTCACCTCCATACCTCCCTCCTGATTAACGCCTTCCCGCCCTCTGGCCTCCAGCAAGCCACCCACCTCTAAGTAGTGTACGAAGGAGGGCACGACAATGTCCCGCCTGCAGGGGCCGGGGGAAGAGGTGGGGGCCGGGGCGGGAGGGACATGCCTTTAAGGGTTGGCCCTTCCTGACGTCTGACCGCTACCCCTTATCGCAGCTCAGATTGGCACGCCCGACCCCTAACCTAAGTAGCCCCTCCACTTCTCCCCTTCATTATATCACAACATGTACTACGTTTCCGTATCCGGCTCCCCACCACTCTAGGCTACAAACACACACGCCGACAACGCACTCCATCCCCTGCCGCAATCCCAGCCCTTCCTATGGTGTGCCCCTGGAAAAGCCCTCCCCCGTTGTGGCTCAAATAATCAGGCTGGGCGGTACGAATCGGCAAGATGCAACTCATGGTGGAGCCTATACCAGCATGTCATAAAGTTAGTTTCCTCTTCAGTACCCCTCGCCCCTCATCCTCGTCCTCCTGCGCCCTCCCACCTTCCATCCGCGTGCAGGTCGGTTATGAGCGGAGTGGCGTACACGGAGGAGGTTGCCTCGCTCATCCAAGACAGGTCCAGTCGGTGGCGGCCGCAGCGCTGGGCGCCGGGGACGGGGCCCTCGTGCTGACTGGGGGCCGGGGGAGATGCGGAGATGCGGGAAAGGGCACAGCGGAAGAAAGGTGACGTTGATTGCATGGATGGTACACAGGTTAACGTGAGCTTGTGCGAGTAGGCAGGGGTGAAGGGCGGCGCCGCGCACAGCACTGGGCATCAGGACAGGGTCCTCGTGTTCAGCGCGGGGGTGGGGGGTCGTGTAAGGGGGTGAGCAGGGGAGGGGGCGAGGCAGACCGGGTTGCGGGTACGAGCGGCTCATCAGGCGGGGCGGGGCGGATACCCTTGCTGAGCGCCCAGCGCAGCAACTGCCCCGCCCCTGACCTCCTCCAGCCTCCGACCTCGCAATGGGGCTATCCCGCCCCACTTCCACCCCATCAAGCCTCTCCACAGAGCCCCGTGGAGGGCCTCAAAAGTCAGAACCGCTTCGTTAGGCTCCCACCTGCACACCCCAGGGTGGGAGCCTAACGAAGCCGCATGCCCCAGGCCCCGCCCACCCTGGCACCAACCGACCCCCCAGCTCCCCGCGCTGCCATCCGCAGGCGTCCGCCCTCCGCTGCCCGTCCATCCTTCCCCGCCCCTCCCTTTACACCCTTACATCTCCCTCCCCCCCTCGCCTCATCTATGCCCCACTCCCTCCTTGCGCTGCCTGTCCTGCCATCCCTGTCATTTGGGACAAGGAGGAGGTGCCCCGTCTCCCGTCCTCCCCACCCCCCGCCGGATAATGTGACCTTCCTCCTCGCATCTTGGACCGCGTGTCTATTCAATTTCCGTTCGCAGTCCTAGTCACAACCCTCCTCTCCCAGCCATGCCACCACAACCTCAACTCCGACGCTGGTCCCTCGCTGCTACTCACATGTCGCCGTCTTTGTCCATGTCCGCCTGCCTTCCCCGGTACTTGTTGCTGCTGTCCGCATCAGCGAGCTGCAGAGAGGGAAGGGGAGGGGAGGAAGACAAAAGACAGGACGACAGGGGAGCAATGGGGTAATGACAGTTGTAAGGGACCGAGGTAGAAGGATGGTTGCGGCGTGAAGGAAGGAGGGAAAGTTCAAGACCCAAAGACCCCTGACAGTGCAGTACGGACATAGCAGCATGTTGACAGCACGTGTCCATAACGGCGTCGACAAATTATCAAACAGACTTCCTGAAAGCTCGCCTGCTTGTTGTGGGCAATAGGTGCACTGATCTGGGCAAAGGCTCCCAGCTGAAAGGCGCATAATGCTAGGATTGGCAGCAACAGCGATGCCATCGCCTCGCCGCGCTGCCGAAGTACTCCACAGTAACAAGCTATCGGTGTAGTTGGTCTGCGGCAACACCTTCGTGCGTATTATTTGGCTTAACTGAGCTGATCACTCCGACTTCCTCACGTACATCCGAAGCAAATTTCTATACGCACTTTCTGTATGGTTATAACATATAATTAACATATAACGTCGTGTCAGGCCGGTGGACGAAGTTTGAAACACAAGCGAAGAGCTGTTGTCTCGGTCTGTGTGCTCCCTTCTTTTGGTAAAGCCGTGCAATGCCCATAGCGGCTTTAGGATTTAGTGTAGGGGAAACGTGGATATAGATAACGCGCCAGGTGTGTAATATGCTTGCTTCACTGTTATTGCCATGGCCGTACAGCAACCATCGACCCTCGGACAAGCCAAAGAAATAACACGGAAAAAAGGTTACGATGAAAGCCACAAGGTGCACGCAAAAATTTCCCATGTGAGATGGCAACGCGACGGCTTACTTCTGTCCCCACTCCCCAGCAGGGCAGTACTGTAAAAGCATATGATACGTGCGTCTTTGGTATGTGCGTCTGCTTAAGATGGAAAGCTGGAGGGGAGTACGCAAACCCTAAAACAGCTGAAGCTAACACCGGCCCAATGCACAGACGTTTCCATGGGCACGTTCGGCGGAAGATGAACCGAATGGAAAGGGCCGGAGTGCGGCGCGTTGTGTTTATCGTGTAGGGGCAAAGACGCAAAGTGCCATGTCAAGTGTCGGTCGCCCAGTGATTGCAAGGCAGTTATCCGTACAGTTATCGATGCTTCCTAATCATGCTCCCTTAACGCAATCCACGGCTCGGCAAATAGCGTAACGGCTCGGCAGATCGCGTAGCACTCACTTGCTGCGTTAGCAGGAAGGGCTCTAGATTGGCATATGGGTCGAGTTTGCGACATGGACCATATGCCGCGGAAGCGATTGCGAAACAACCCCTTACAGCAATCTACTTTAGTTGAAGGTGTGATAGACCTAGTTGACACGGACACAGACTCTGATGTCGAGATAGTCACGGGTAGGAAAAAGCAGGAGGTCGACTATATCTTAGATGACGGGTCTTCTGACGAAGACGTGAAGATAACTGCTGTGGCTGGGCAGGTATAAAGTTCGCTTACCGCTTACGCTAGCATTGCCTCCTCCATTTATTAGCAAGCCTTGTCTGTTTATCCCCGTTACCGCTCTCTGTCAATAACTCCATGTGTGTTGTATGTTTTTGGGCCCCTTCCTTTAGATAGCGACACAGGCCTACCCGCACTGTCGACCCGACTGCGGTCGGCATCCCTTTGTTACTGATGTCGCCGAGTCGAACGGCAAATACTGCGCACAGGTGGGCGCGTGTGTTCCTGCTTGAAACGTACTATAATGGACCCACGTTGCATTATCTGCCTTTGTAAGCCTGCGACCGGCGCCACCTCGCATCCTTCAACTACCGGCGCTTCATTCACGCCCATCCCCCTATGCTTACTAGCCCATTTCCGTTCGCTCGCCCTGCAGTGCTTCTGCTTTGTGTGCGATGTGAAGGCGTCGGAGTGCGAGTTCTGGGGAACAGGTGGGGCAAAGGGAGGGGCCTACGAGGCACGGCGATGGGTGGATGAGAGGGGGTGGGTGGGTAGAACATAGCAACGGAACGTTGTTCAAACCCTCGGCAACGAGTTGGGCAACGGCAGGGTAGGGGATACGGGCAGACTGGTTATCGCTGCAGCGCTCACCCACAGTCCCCTTTGGCTCGCTTCCTAGTACCCTGTTTTTCCCCCTCCCTCCCTCCCTCCGCCCCTCCCCTCCCCAGGCCTGCTCCCCCACCACCACGCCAACGCCTACTACCTGGCCCCATGGCGCCGACTACGGGAGGCGGCTCGCCGCAGCACCGGTAGCAGCAGCGGGGGAAATCAGGCAGGAGGGGATGCCCTACGGCAGGCCTTTCAAGCTGCGGAGGCGGCACGCAGCGGCAGCGGCGGGGGAGATGCCGTACGACAGGCCTCTGGAGCTGCGGAGGCGGCACGCAGCGGTAGCAGCGGAGGAAATGCTGTACGGCAGACCATTGGAGCTGCGGAGGCCACATGCAGCGGCAGCAGCGGAGGAGATGCCGTGCGACAAGCCTCTGGAGATGGGGGGGCGGCGCGCAGTGGTAGCAGCGGGGGAGTTGCCGTACGACAGGCCTCTGGAGCTGCGGAGGCAGTACGCAGCGGTAGCAGCGGGGGAAATGCCGTACTGCAGACCATTGGAGCTGCGGAGGCTGCACGCAGCGGCAGCGGCGGGGGAGATGCCGTGCGACAAGCCTCTGGAGCTGCGGAGGCGGCACGCGGCGGCAGCAGCGGGGGAGATGCGGTACGACAGGCCTCTGGAGCTGCGGAAGCGGTACGCAGCAGTAGCAGCGGGGGAGATGCGGTACGGCAGACCATTGGAGCTGGGGAGGCCACATGCAGCGGCAGCAGCGGAGGAGATGCCGTGCGACAAGCCTCTGGAGCTGCAGAGGCGGCGCACAGCGGCAGCAGCGGGGGAGATGTCGTACGACAGGACAGGCCAAACAGTGGTAGTGGGTGTAATGGTGGGTGTGGGGGTGGAGAAGCAGATGATGGCAGTGGTAGCGGCGGCAGCGGCGGCAGCTCCGCACGGGAATCCCCCCAAGCGGTGGATGCGTTTCCAGCAGTAACAGCGGCGGCGGCGGCAGCGGCGGGACCAGGGCTGGGAGTCGGGGGGAGGATGGGAGCAGCAGCGTGACCCATGGGGCACCTGGCGTCAAGGACAATGGCAGCGGCAGTAGCAGCGCGGAAGAGGACGCCGTAGAGGAAACCATCCAAACGGCTGTGGCAGCAAGTGAGGGGCCGGCTGGAGCGATGGCAGCAGGTGAGGCGGGTACTGCAGTAGTGGCGGCGGCGGATAGAGCTGAAAGGGACGGGCCGCTGGAGAGACCGCAGCGGCAGCAGGAGGAGAAGGAGGAGGACAAGCAGCTGCTGCGGCAAGCACTCTTCCCCGCCTTGCCCCCCTTGCCGCCCCCTTTGCCACCACCCTCGTTTCAATCCTCTGCCAGCACTGATGTCAAGCCTGCGATGATGCCGCCTGAGGGACAGCGCTAGTCGCAGTTGTAGCCGCGTGCACTGCTCATGTGCACCGATGTGGCAACACCTGAGCTGCAGCCACAGCAGCCGTTTGCTCACCTCATAAGCCCCTTGGAGCTGCACCCAGCGCTGACGTCGTCCCTCCTGACTTCCACCCACCCACCTCATCATGCATGGCTGTGTGTTCTGCGCATGCGGGTTATGCGGCAGCCGCAAGGGTGTTGGTTGTACAGATGCATGTACGATAGTTGTTGACCGCGGGAACTTTCCATCTCTGTCAGTTCGCAGACTTCTTGAGCATCCTGCATCCTGTACGTTTTGCTAGCCTTAGCTCTGAAAGTTGCGCCCTGTGTAGTGTGTATGTATACGACATGATGTAATAAGATTAAATCGAGGCATGTGTATAGCAAGTAGGACATGTTTTTGTTGTTTTGATGCGACAAAAGCTGTGTTTGTGTATGAAACCCCTCAGGGTCGGTCTGTGTTGTGCGTATCGCTGTGCATGGTAAAAGGACATGTCGTAACGGAGCTTTACCGCTCTAGCGGAAGGCCGTGTGTGGAAGAAGACAGTAGAAGACAGAAGGCATTTAAAGGAGACTTCCCTGCGGTTCCCCTTGTGCGGACTTGAGGCAACTCGCTTCAGAGGCTAGGATTTCGGACATATATGCACCCCGCCGTACTTGGGACAAGGCTTTTGGTTACCTGCAGTTAGTGTTAATACCGTTAGTGCTACGTGTGGTATGGTTACAGCGTGTCAGGGTTGGCTGGGCAGCTGCATGCAGTATTGCTTCGGCTGGTACGGCAGTCCTCTGCCGGCTGCCAATGCCGTACTTCATTTCCGTACTGCATACGTGCAGCGCTGGGGTAAAGCATGGCCGGATTTTGGTGGCAGTAGTTAGTTGTAGGCAATGGTGCTGGAACCGCTTTGTAAAGCATATCCACCACTATGAGTGTAACCACCATGTGTCCGGGGCTCGGATTGTACCAGACATGAGTCGGTATGCCGCATGGGAGGTTAAACTTAACGATGGTAACCTGATCAACCTGATTCGGCAAGGCAAATCAGTCTACCTTCCGAACCCGGCGAGCCCAATGCATGTTACCGAAGCCCTGCGAGAGGTAGTTGGGCTAGAGGTACGGTGTGGTATCAACCATAGCTACCCATGTGGTAGTTTCGTGGTAAGGTTAAGAATGAAGGACCGTAATTACAGCAATGTTTGCTGTGCGGGGTGCCGCATGCCGTGTTGCTGCCGGTGCGCACGCACACGCATGGGTGGGCTTGCGGTACCGCACCACCGCGCGGCGAAACCGAGTGACCGTCGTCCGACTTGGGACGGGACAGACTAATCGTCCAAGTCAGCTGTCACCCAGCGGCCTGCCCATGCTGCCCGCAGCAGCAGCCGCCGTCCGTGGGATATTCTGGCGCCGGTGCGCTAGCAGCAGTTGTGTGTACTGATATATGCTGGGTTGTCCGGTATGCATCTGTGTGCTTACGGCTCAACGCAAACACCACATCATGGCATACCCCACCGCACCCTTGGGTTGCCCATCCGGAACCGCCATCCCCACCCCTCCAGCAGCACAGGTGAAGCCCCTTTACACGATCATTGATGTCTTCCCCCTCACCCGCCAGCACAGCTGCCCCCGACACCATTCTTCGCTGTAACCCCTTCTTTCCCCATTACGCATCCCATGCGCAAGCCAGCGGCCAGCAGCCCTGCCTGCATGCGCGCCTCATGCTGACATCAACATCCTGCCGGGCCATGCTGCATGCTTCTTGGCTGTTACTGTTGTTGCTACGGTCTGTCTCCCTCCATGTGGGCAGCTAGCCAGCGCACCACGAAAGCTGCCAGAGCCTCTGCAGGCGTGTGGTGGTGGTGGTGCTCGCTCCTGCCGATGCTCCCGGCACCACCCCCCTGACTGCTGTCCGCTGCACCTCCCCTGCTTCTGAGGGCGGCCGCTGCTGCTCCAAGGGTCGCTGTCAGCGCTCCTGGCTGGCTGCATGCAGCGAAGAAGTGGTCGCAGCCCGGACATACCAGCAGCTGCAGCAGCGGAGGTGCTGCTTGCGGGGAGGAGGCAGAGGAGGAGGAAGAGGCTGCCACCGCCGCTGTCATAGTCGCAATAGCAGTACCGGTAGCAGTCATAAGGTCTGCAGCAGCGGCCGTAACCGCAGTGGGAGTCTCTACGGGAGCAGCTGCAGCAGCAGCACCTCTGGCTGTTGCAGCAGGTGCTGCTGCTGCCGCCGCTGCTGCGCGTGCAAGTGCGCGTTGCACGGCATTCTGGACGTTCCGTACGTCTGTGAATTGGTCTTGATCACCGCAGCAGAGCAGCACTGGTAGAGCGGCAGCAGGCGGAGATGGAGGCGGGCGGACACCCTCCCCGCTGCCGCCGCTGCCACTATTGCTGATGCATGCGGCTGCCAGGAGGGCCTCCCATGGGGCGCCGGACCGCAGGAAGGTACGGGAGAGGGGGCCTGGACAGGCGGGGAGAGAGGAGAGGGTGATGAGGGGTAGAGGTTGGGTGAGAGGTTGGGAGCGCAGGTAGGTGGGACGTTCTCCCGCACCCTCCCTTGACGTGCCCTGTCTCCTCGCATCTTAGTTCTCTTCTCCCCCGGCCTGCTCTCACCCAGCGGAAATGCCAGCGCCGCCAGCGCCCCCACTGGCTGCGGCCGCAGCTGCCCCAACGCCCCCGCAGCCACCACACAGCCGTAGCTGTAAGCCGCCAGCGCCAGCCGGCAGGGGGGAGCAGGCGGGTGCTGCGGGGGCCGCTGCTGGGGCTGGGGCTGAGGGTGTTGGCCTTCTTGCTGATGCGGTGCATGTGCTGCGAGGTGCTGGTGTCCTCCTTGCCCTCCTAGCGCGGGGGTGGCTGCTGCTGCCCTTGTCGCCGTTAGGCCTGCGGATGGTGATGCTGCGGGCGCTGGGGTGGTGGTGGTTGGCATGGTGGTTGACCCCAGCAAGTGTCGTACAAGCGCCACCAGATCTGCTGAGTCAACCGCCGGAGACAACGACCGGGAGCCTCCGGAACCACCTGCTAGGACGGGGAGCGGTTGGGGAGCGGAAAGGTGGTTGTGGTAAGATGGCCTGGCGGACGCGGTGAACATCTTGGTAATCCCTTTGGTTGTCAAGGTTGTCAAACCTGCCAAGCCCACCTGCCCCCCGCATGTTGTATCGGACCACCCGAGTGAAGGCTCCGCTGGCCACCGCAGCCCTGCAGGCAGGCAGGCAGACAGACAGGCGGACAGATGGCGGCGGGGTGCGGGGAGGGAGGAGCATGCGTGAGCGTGGGAAGCAGACGCGGTCATGTGGGCACTGCAGCCCCATGGAGGCGGTGTGTCGTAATTCACATTGGGGGGATAAGGATAAAGAGGAGATAGGTCAATGCAGTGAGGAGGAGGTGTTGCGGGGAAAGGGACGGCTGAGGGACAGGCGGGGCTTCGTGCCGCGGTGTTCGTCCAAGGGTTGAGAGGAGGCGCCGGTAGTGGGCCAGAGCCGCCTTGCTAGGGTTCGTCAAGGCAGCGGGTTCCTATTGCAGGGTTTGTTCGTGTGGCTGTTGGGATGTTTAAGAGGGTATGCAAAGGAAGAGGGAGGGGGCGAGGAGAGCGTGTTGAGGAGACGTGGAGGCCCGGTACACGCCTTGAAAAATGGAGACTTGAAGTGGATGGGACTGAGCGGCACAGGAAGAGGGCATGCGAGGAGCTGACAAGTGTACACGGTGTGTTTGTTTATTGGACTTCGGGGGCCGATTCGGAATTTCCACTGTTCAGTTTCCGTACCTGCATAATGCCCCAACAACGTGGTCGTCCATGCAGCCCCCTAGCCAGGCCCATGGATGTAACACAACCAACAAGGAGCCGCTGGGAGCACCATCCCCAGCGTCCCGAGCCTTCCCAGCTTCGCGGAAACCTGGGGCCAGCCGAAAACAATAACCGTACGGGTCTAACGACAACGCTGCACGGCACAGCGTGGCCTACGGTACTCCAGGTACGTTCCAGACAGAACAAATGGCTCGCTCGCGGCCTATGTAAGGCGTCATGTACGTGGAAGGACAATTTCACCGCAGACGGCATGGCACGACACCCTCTTGCCCGTTTGCGCGAGAGGGTATGTCGCAGAATTCTTCAGGAGCAAATGGGCATAATTGGGGCTAACTATACACTCTTTGAATCCACCTGAAGGCGTGCATGTGTAGATTTCCACCTCCAAGGCGACTCCGCGGCTTGGCAACGCAATCAGCTGTCGCACCATGAACCGGAGAAAGTTTATTCGTCAGGTGTTCACTGTAGAATTGTGATAGCCAACATAGCACTGCACCCTGTAACGCATAAGATGGCGTAGAGGTATGGCTTCGGAGCCAACGGACTCAGGATCCAATCAGGCAAGCTGGGCGAATTGTGCGACCAGGCCGAGCGGGTGTTTAGACTCCTGCTAGGCCCGACAACAAGAACAATATCGGCTCTGCAACATTACAAACCTCTATCGTTTCTCCCGTGACTTTCCTAGCCTTTTCGACTTTAGAGCTGTGTTGCCTAACTATATGCTATTATGTTTAATAATGCATCTGTTTAAATGGTGTTTTCATCGTTACCCCTTAACGTTTATCCGCGGCCTTCATTGCTATCTTGGCATTCCGCGGCCCTTTGAGAGGATTGTCCACTTCCCCACCAACTGAATACTGTTTCATAGCTACGTAAGAGTCGAATCGAGAGCATAGACACGACGGTCAGCGACGACGTCGTGACGACCGTGGATGCCTGGCTGTGCGGTAGCTTTAGGAGCAACGGCCCGGCATAGACCATGGCCACAAAGGCTGACGGCGAGACGAGGACCATCCTCAGGAAGCTAGCGCTCTACTTGCCACTGTTCTATCTCATCTATTACATTGTAGGTTATGGGTTTGTCTTGCCATGGTGACAATGCACGCCACGTACCTGTTTCTACCCCCTCTTGACCCCGTTTATTCAACCCCTTCTCCTCCCCTCGGTCCCCTTCTCCCCCCCACCCCAACTGGGCAGTGGTCCATCATCCTTGTTGGCTCCCTCCATGTGGGCTGGCGCCAGCTGGGGCGCTACCCCTTCCGCATGCGACACAGCGAATTCAACCCGCGGCACCGGGACGCGGCAATGGGTGGGTGACTGGTGGGAGAGTGAGGAAGGGATGTAGGGTAGGGGAGGAGTGGCAGGGGGAAGAGGGGTTTGACAAGGAGATGTAGGACAGGGGAACACATGACGGGAGGTACCGTATATATTGCAGAGCTGAAGTGGGTTTGCACTCCCTAGGTGCATTGCTAAGGGTCTGGTAGAAGGGGCTGCGGATGGTGGGGGGCTGTACTCAGGACGGGGATGAAGGGTTGGTGGCAGGTAAAGGACAGGAGAGCAGGTCGGGAAAGGAGTCGAAGGCCATTGGCCTCAATGTACAGAAAGCACACCCAATCTGAACAAGTGCTCCAGATTTTTCGTGTCGTGTCGTCTTCAGGGTCCTACTGTACGTCAGACACGTGGGTGGCTCCGAGGTTGACCCCAACGAAACCCAGCATGCCTAACCCACACCTGAATTCCTTTCACCTTTTGCCGTATCGTCACGACTCCTTGTCTTCTCACCTTTAGGCGTGCCTTGCTGCAGTGGCCGCATCGGAACGCAGCACGGCTTCAATGAACACATCCGCCGTCCTGCTGTCTCCTGACTATGTATTGCACAATGCCGTACCGCTATATGCCGTACATCCCCCTCCTTACCTCCACCAGGTGCCTGGTTGGCTATGGTACTGACGCACGTGTGCAGCCTAGGTCTCACGTACGGCGTGGTGAAAGCCACCCGCAAGAGTTGGGATTACGTTGTGACGTCATCTGTCGTACACTTCATCCTATGCATCATAGGTAAGATGGGAAGGGGGGGGGCTGTGATTGCGCGGGGGGACATGGTCGCCTGTATGGAGATTGGGGGCGCGGGTGAGAGGATAGAGAGAGTGGCAGACAAGGTGCTATGGCTGGTATATCACGCCCTCCCCTGCCTTGCTCCTCCCATCCTTCCCCAACCCCGCATGCAGTCAACCAGGCGTTCCCTGTCAACTGGATCTGGTGGGTGACGCTGCTGGTGGGGTCACTGCTGGTGTCGCTGGCGGCGGAGGTGGTCAACTACTACCTGCGGGACATGCGGGAGATACAGCTTGTGAGGAGGGAGGGGTTGTTCCGCACTGGATTGGACCGTACAGAGTGTTGGTATTGCATTGCCTACGAGTCAAGGGGGAAGGAGGGAGGTGGACGTGAGAGAGGGGAACAGATGGGAGGCCGGAAGTGAGGCCGAGACCTCACAGCGGCAGAAGAGGGTGAGGGGGGAGTAAAAATTAAATAAGTGAAACAACGAATCCCAATCCCATATCCCGACTCATGCAGTGAGTCATGCAGTGAGGGGGGAGAGGAGGAGGGTAGCAAGAGGTCTGTATCCTGACTATACTGAAAGGGATCTGCTGTGCTTCAAACCTGTGTGACTTCATCTCCCCTCGCATCTCTGGCAGCTGTGGTGTTTCGACTTAAACCGAGCCCTTCCTCCCCCGCTCCTTCCCACCCCTGCATCATCCACTTCACCACCAGGACCGCGTATGACACCACCTTTTGCGGGTCTTGCCGCACTGTACAACGCCGTACGCAGTGCTGCCAGGTTTTGTGCTAAGGCATGTAAGGCAGTACAGCCTGCTCGGGTACGACTATAGATTGGAGGGCGGTCCGTTGCTGCGGGGACAGGTACCGTAGTGTGCAAGTGGAGGAGAACCGTGACCTGAGGTTAGCTTGTAGGCTCGCACCCAGCACTTTAAGATTCGGTGTTGCGGAGAATCCTGTCGCTTGTACGGAATGAGGTGAACGGACACTGGCGCTAGCCAGGGCCGGCTGCCCTGAATGACGACAGCGGGGGTGATGGTCCTCTTGTGATCACTACTGCGGCTGTATTTGCTGTACATAATGTTATGCAGGCCGAGGAGGATGGCGAGCCTTCCATGTCGGGCGGGAGATGCGAACGAAACTTGTGAGCTATGCTGCTGCGGAGGCGGCTGACTGGACATGGGCCCCACTTCGAACATCACATACCGGTACACCTAGCATGGTTAGTGATGGTGCAATGTTGCGGTGGCTGCGGTGGTTAGGATAATGGTGATGGCGGATGTGGGAGGTAATGACGGAGGGCGCATCTCGCCTTCTGATGCCTCCGCAAATTCGGTCGTTTGACCCACACATGGTGGCGTTTAAAGTATCCGAAGATACTGTCGGGGCGTCGATCCGCGTGGTCGCTGCAGGGCCCCAGCTTGGTGGCTGCAGAGGTGTAATGCTGAACGTGCAGGGCTTGGGGATACACCGGCACGTGCCTTTCCATGGCTCGAGGTCAGCGAGCGGTGAATCGTACGACAGTTCGTACTTGCAACCGTCACAAGCATTCTATCCTGCGCAACATTCCTGCCAGCATTGTGCTTATTATTGGAAGAGCGCACGCTCGCAAAGCTCGCCGATTCTCGCAACGTTTGAGGTAGCTAACGGAAAGCGCACTGTTACGACTGTATCGCTCATACCGACTTGCCATATATGTATTTGCTTTGTGAGAATATGCATAAACTACGCTGTCATCAAGCTTGACCGGATGTGATCAATTGACAATTACACATATGCGCCAGTCAACAGGCACGCAGCGTAGCCCTGTACCTCCAGTTTCTTCATTCCGTATTAGGTTAGCATATTAACGTTTACCGAACTGTAGCTTTGCTGCATTTATCCGCACGTCAGCAGCAGGTCGACGGAGTCATGCCACGCCAGTGAAGTCTCCTGGACAACTCACTGCTATACACACGGCTGGAGACCGACAGCGCCAGCAGCGTCTCTAGCTTGGCCGATAGCTACCTGGACAAATGCCCAAGCAAGCGGACATCCGCACGTTAATTCCCGGTTGTACCGCAGCCCAATTTTGGGATCTAGTGTATGAGCGACCCGAGACGACAGAGCGTTACCATGTTAGGTGCGTCGGGCATCGGCGGCTTCCTATTGCGTATCGGCGCGCATGGTCGAAGCCTTGCATGGTCCCCTTGCGAAGTGCACAACTTTCTTGTTACCTTTCTCATTGCCCTTCTTCCCACCCGCTGATACATCCGACCCCAACAATTCCACTGCTGGTGCTGGGCTGCAAACCAACCCTCATTCTGTGACCGGCCCCAACTACACATCGCCCTCCAATTGTTTCGCCCCTCCGGACAGCTTCAACTCGGTAAGAGCCCACACCCACCCTTTGCCTCCCCATCATGGGATCACCGTTCAGCCTTCCCATCATGGGATCGCCATTTGTCGTCGTTTGCGCCAACGTGTGTCGTCAACCTCCGTTGTGCAGAGTACGGCCACCCACGTCACTCCCTGGTCGGGCGGGCAGCGCACTGTGGGCTTCACAATGCCGCTCAAGATGCCTGACTTCGTCAAGCGGATGGTGCGAAGGGGGAAGAGCGGGGTGGGGGGTGGAGGGGGGTGAGGGAGGGCAGGTGGGTTACTTAATCCCTCACTTCCCATCCTTCCTCTCGTCTGATTGATTGCCCTCACACCCCCAAATGCGTTGGGCCCAGCTCCCCTCCAACACCTTCCCTCCCCTCCTCCCCCCAGGTGGGTCAGGACTGTGTGGCAGTGACGGAGGTGCAGCGGGTGGTGTGGGTGGGAGGTGGTGCGGCGGGAACAGCAGCAGGCGGAGGCAGGGGCAGCGGCTTCACTGTCACCTCGGAGACACAAGTGGGCAACATGATAGGTGCGGGGGAAGGGGGAGTAGGGATAGGGAGACGGGGTTGCGGTGCAGAGCGCGGGGTCGTACTACCGGTACTGCACACCATGAACCCCTCCGCTCAGCGCTGTGACAAGCGGCAACGGCGGCACTTCTGCATTCGCCAAATGCATCCATGTGCAGCAGTCGGCGCTGCAAGCAGCTGCCGTACCAGATAAGAGTCGCAACCACATCCCTGCACTTTCTCTCCCTACCCCTCAAACCCCCATCCTACTCTTTCTGCTCCCCGCCCTCTTCTTCATCCCCGTTATTCACCTCACCCTCCCAGGCTCCAGTCGCTTCACCACAGCGCTGCAGCTCTCCGTCTCCGAACTGCCCCAACAGGATGAGGATGCGACCCACAGCGACCCCACTGACCCACGGGTCACCATCAGCCACCGCGACGCAGCCTCCTCCTCCCCCAGCTGCAGCTGCTCCCTGCAGCTGGTGTACGGCGTGCGGTGTGCGGCGGTCTCAGTGCCCTGGCCCATGTCGGCTTCCATCGAGAACCTGATGACGGAGAAGGCGCTGGTGAGGAGGGAGAAGGGGGGAGGGGGCACCATGCGTGGGGTTACTCGCGTCTTCCACCCGTCCACCTGAGAGGCCTCCATGTGAACCCGCCTAGCATGGTCCAAACCTCTAGCTGCCCCGTGTGGCCTCGCCTCGCCCCTGCTACCCTCGTGACACCCCACTCCCTCCTCTCCTCTCCATGTTCCCCTCCTCATTACCCTGCTACCCTGTTGCCCTCTGGCAGGTGTCCATGCGAACCTTCCTGGACTTCTGCAACCAACTCCTGGACGAGCAACAAGCCGCCGCAGCACCGGCAGCAGCAGCGGCCGCTCCTGCTGCCGGTACCGCCGCTTCACATGTGCCTGCTGCTACAGCTGCTCCTGACACAGCCGCCACGTCATCAGTGCCTGCGGGTGTCACCGCAACTGTGGTGGCAACTGCCGCCTCCCCCAGGTCTGGACACGAGCAACAGCAGCAGCAGCACCTCTCATCGCCGTTCCGGAACGCAGCTGCTAGTGCTGCTGGTGCGGACGGTGGTGGAGGCTGCCGCAACAGCGGGGGAGGAGGCACAACGGCAGCAGCAGGGGGTGGGAGTGGAGGTGGGGTGCTGGCCGCTCCGCCCTCCGCGGCTACCACGGGTCCTGGAGGAGGTGGGTGCGGGAGGGATGAGGGAAGGGCGAGGGAAGGGTGGGGTGCCCACGCCCCAGGTACATAACTCTCCACCACTCCTCCACCTCCCCCAACCCCTCATCCCTTCCTCCTGCCCTCGCTCACCTGCATGCCATCGCTTATACACATGCCCCCATGCAGGCCCTCTCTCCCAACACATCAATCCTTCCCCTACTCCCCTACTCCCCTGCAGGCTCCCTTCCACCAATGGCTCCCTCCTCCTCCCGCCGCCCCGCGCCCGCCCCCTCCTCCGCCCCCTCCCTGCGCCCGCACCGCTGGCCCAGCATCACCTGCTCTCAGGACCTGCTGCTGCCGGGGCCGGGGGAGGGGCCGGCAGGGGGAGGGGCAGGGGGTGCGGATGTGTTTTGGGACGCGCCGGAGCAGTGGGGAGCGGCTTCCTCCTCGTGCTCAGGTGGGGCTGGTTGCGAATAGGAAGGAAAGGGGGGTGGAGGGAGGGAAAAGAAGAATACCCAATGTGTGCCCAAGGAGGGAGGGTGCGAAGGAGTGTGGGTTTACCCAATAGGATGCAGGGATACGGGGGCGAGTGGAGCGAGGAGGGACAGGGTGGTGGTGGTCCGTGTGAGCAGGGGGGGTCCATGGACGCCCAGCTGGCCTGCAAGCCAGCCACTCCGCGACGTCGTGGGTCGGCTACCGTTACGACTGGTATTCGGCATGGATGCTTGGCTTCTCTCATATGTCATACCCCCTCCCCCTCTTTTTCCTAGTCCCTTCCTTACATCCCCTACCCACCCACGATCCCACCCCGCAGGCTACAGCAGCGGAGTGGTCAGCCCCTCCCGCCAGTTCTCCATCCCACCCCTCAGACGGCTATCAGGAGATCACACCCTGGGCGGCGCAGCTGCTGCCGCCGCTGCTGGCGCCGCTTCGGAAGCCTCCTCCCGTCAGCAGCAACAGCAGCAACATCATCACGCGGTGGTGGTTGCGGCGGTCGATCAGTTGGCGGCGGCGGTTGCCGTACTGGATCGCAAAGTCGACCGTGTGCTTCAGCTGCAGCAGCAGCACCAGCAGCAGCTGGACGCAGTAGCAGCAGCGGCGGGGGTGGAGGGTGATGGGGATGCTGGCATCGGCGGCGCCAGGCGGCGGTACGGCAGCGGCAGTGGCGGGGGTGCCGGTAGTACGACATGGTTGTTGCGGTTGGTTGCAGCGCTGCTGCTAGCGACTATGATCCTGGTGGGGTACTGGGTGGCGCACCCGCATGCAACCGGGTTCGGACCTGGTTCCTCCTCCTCCTCCCCATCATCATCGTCTTCCCCGTCCTCGGTATTCGCTTCTTCGTCTTCTTCTCCTTTCTACGGAGGCGGCAAGACAGCGGCGGTGATTCGTGTGGATGCAGTAGGGGCAGTAGGAGAAAAGGGAGGAAACGGTGCAGGAGGAGGCGTGAGTGGCTCCGGAGGGGGAGGGAGAGGCCCAGCGAAGCGGGTGCTGTCAGCGGTGGTTGGAGGCACGGGCGATGGTGCTAGTGCTGCTGCTGCTGGTGGTGCCAACATCCGGGGCGGTCGAGAACTGCAGGGGCGGCAGCCGCAGCAGGGGTGGCAGCGGCGGCACCGACGGCGGTAAAGCGTAGTACCGTTGAAGCGCGCATGGCCGACCTGGCTGTAAGGGCTGGCTGGCGGGGTGCTGGCTAAGGTTTGGGGGCCTGACTAGAGATGTGTATATATAACTGGCCGCGAGGCGGAACGTACTGTGATTGTGTCCATGCGACGGCAATGGGAGCTCTTGCCGTGAGGTCATTGAGGAGGGAGGTTACTGCCGCGCGTGTGTACATGGCTATACGAATGCGTGCGTACGTGCGTCCACGTACCAGTAATCTATGCGGCTCCTGGTGTCGTGACGACTGCACATGCCAGTGACCTAACCCCTGTTGCCCGTGTGTCCACTGAGACACACGCTGCATGTACATATACGGTCCAGTGCTGGCGACCGGTCTGAAGTGGGTATAGCTGGGTATAGATGCGGGTATAGATGGGTATAGATGCGAGGAATTGTAGAACGTTCGTGTGCCTGCCCTGGACAGTCGGCCTACATGTGGGTGGTGGGTTAGACCGTGATGTGCAGGAAGTGATACTTCTTGGCGTGCGCTACGGGTGCATGTGCGCGTTATGCTGCCTACCGGTTTGCGCAGTACAAGGGTTCGTACACTGCCGTACGGTGCACTGAGTACGAGCCCATTTGTTTTAAATCAATGGCGCTAGTGGCGTAGCGTGGAGGAGGTGCTGGCGGATCGGGTGGTAGAGAATACCGGTGACTAACTAACCACATGACGCAACTCCAGCGGGTTAGCGGGAGCTGAGCGTATGTCCTGGAGCCGCCTCGCCCTAGGTACCGGTGTCGTGGATACTAAACCACTTCATTTCGTTGCCGTTGCGCATCCGAGCTCAGCTGGGAAAAGCCAGCCAGCTGCTCTTATCTTCGCTCCCGCGCATAAGGATTGCCGCCGTGGGCAAAGCATTTAATGCCAAAAAGGGCTAGAAGCGAAACCCTTTCCAGCCAACACAAGTAGCGGCAGCGTGGCTGCAGAGCAGCAATCCTACACAAAGATTTCGATAACAGGTTAGGCATCGGAGCAGATAGCCTTGCAGAAATCTGACAGCTCGCACCGTTCATAACCCAAGGTGTCGAATCCATCAGACGTAATCCAAGCTTAAGGAGTCCACACCGGTGCCCAATCTGCAATGCTGTAGTGGCTGTAAATCATCTTGTGTAGCATATTTTTGCTAGATACTTGTGAGATCACCGCAGCCTGAGCGAGTGTCCGAGGGACAGTTGTCGTAGTTCGCTCCCACTTCGCGATGGTTGATGACATGACGTAACACGTTTCACATCTTTCAATCTTCCTACCCTGGCAAAATCGCGTACGTATATCTTCCTTAGGATTTATAGATCTGCGGAGTAAAGGGTTACAGGAGGTGGGTAACCGTCCTCTTGCACAACCGGCGACGACACGCAGCGGGAAATCGCGTAGCAAATTTGCTGCAACAGAAGCTCGTTGGATTTCTAACTGACACGGTAGCCCATTCACTCGACCAGATTGTGCTTCGCTCTTTTTCCGGCAACTGCAGTTAGGTAGGAGCGCGGCAACCATTGCGGCATTTCATCATCGCTGCTGTCTTGTCATACAAGCTTCCTACCTTTAACCCCCTCTTGGCTTACAGATAGCCAGCCCAGTACCCAAATCCAGCAACCGCGACATCATCATAACCGTACCAACAGCAGCAACAACAATGTCCGCGACCACCGGAACAGGAGGCCTCTCGTCTTCCTCTTCTCCTTCCTCGCCCTCCTGGCTGGCCGGTCGCACCTTTGTCGTCACCGGATCCAGCCGCGGAATCGGTTTGGAACTTGTGCGGCAGCTGCTGGCCGGCGGGGCGGGCCGGGTGGTGGCCACTGCGCGGCAGCCGGAGGGGGCGGCGGCGCTGCAGCAGATGCTGAGGGAGGAAGAGGAGGCGGAGAGGAAGAAGAAGGAGGAGGCGGGAGGAGGAGGAGGCGATGGAGGGCGGTTGGTGGTGGTGCGGATGGATGTGACAGACCCCGCCAGCATCCAGGTAGGGAGGGATTGGAAGGAAGAGAGGAATGTGAGGAGGAAAGGGGTGCGGGCGCGTGGGGTTGGGGGTGTTGCTTGGAGTTTTGACTCCTGGGTATGACCGGTTGCGGGGGGTTTGCAGGTCTGTACGGCAGGAACCCTCCAGCACCAGGCTACTTACTTGCCGTACAGGTGCCAGATACACATCCATCAGCCAACTCTCCCCTTTCTCGGGGCAGCTCTATCCCTGTTTGAGCTACTAATGCCTAGCCCGTCCGCGTACATCACCCTTTCCCTGCCCACCCCTGCTCTCACACCACCTGCCGAACCGACCTCCCTCTATTCACCCATACGTGTTGACGCTGCTCCGCAGCTCAGCTCCTCCCGAATCCATATGTTTACCCCGTTGCTACTCGCTCTTTTTTTTGGCAACACATACATCTTGCAGGCGGCAGCGGAGGAGGTCTCCCGCGTATGTGGCGGAGGTGGCGTGGATGTGTTGGTTAACAATGCGGGAGTGCTGGAGACCTCCCTCACCGCGTGGGAACACACGTGAGGAGAGGGTGGGGGAAGGTGGTTGGAGGTTCGTTAGGCGGTTGGGCGGTTGGACGGTTATTTCGATGATACGGGCAAAAGGGAATGCGGCTGCAAAAAGGGGCCGTAAAAGCCAGGCAGGCAGGTACTGCATGTGGGCGAGAGGGTGGTGGGTTTGTGGGCGGAGGTGAACGGAGGATGGGAGAGGTGCGGGGCTCGAGGGGTAATCGCCACACGCTATGGGGTCAGCCAACACCCTCCCCCCAAACACAGCCCCAGCTAAACAGCGGAGCTTAACTCAGTTATGCTGCTGACAGCACTGCAGCAGAGATATCAGGTATAGCGCAGTGGAGCCGGTTATCACAGCAGCAGCCGCCTTTTATTCGCCAATGCAGAGTGATCTCAGATCACCCCAGCCGCCATGGAGCTTAAAATACGGTTTGTTATTGATTGATGCTACTAACTATACAACAACTGCAATTATATGCTATCCCAACTATCTAGCCTAATGCGGATTCTGTTTCCAAATTACCCCCCAAACACGCGTGCAAGCAACCGCACACACAAACACAACCCCCCTCTCCCCCCCTTCTTTCCCCCTTCGTCCCCTTGTCCCCCAGTTCCCCCACCGAGGCTCGTGACATCCTGCTCACCAACAGTCTGGGCCCGGTGCTGGTCAGCCGGGCGCTGCTGCCGCTGCTGCGGAGGAGGGGGGGAGGAGCAGCGGGCGGCAGCCGCATCATCGTGAACGTCTCCTCGCTGTGAGTAGGGAGGTGGGGAGGAGAGGAGGGGCCCTCCGGGAAGGGGGGTGGGTGGGCTAGGGTCTGGCAGGGGACGAGGCGCACGTACCGGTACCCGCTCGCAGTACCCGGGTTGGGTGCGAGATGGGACGTGCGCACCTCCTCCTCACGTGCGCACCTCCTCCTACCACCGCCACCTCTGAGCTGCCTCCTGCTTTCCTTGCGGACCGTTGCATGGATCCTGCCCATATGCTCTGCTGTGGTGTCCCTCCTCTCCCCGCCCCTATGCAGTATCGTCCCCAAACGGCCCCATGTAGTGTAACGCTTACCTCCTCCCCCCATGGTTCTCCTCCTTATTCCATCTCTCTCCTCCCTCTCCCTCCCCCCTGGTATCTCTGACCCCCTGCTGGTATGATCTTTGACCCCCCCGCCCCTTCCAGCATGGGCTCCCTATCCGAGCAGGCGGCGAGCACCCGGGAGGGGGTGGCGGAGGTGGTGGCCGGCAGGGCTAGGCAGGGGGAGGGGGAGGGGGAGGGGAGGGAGGGGGAGAAGCAGGGAGCAGCAGCAGCGGCAGGGGAGGGCAGTGGCGGTGGTGCTGGTGGGTCGGTTGTGCCGCACCTGGCTAGCGGCTTCATGTGGTACAAGAGCAGCAAGGCAGCACTCAACATGGGTGAGGGGGAAAGAGGGCGAGGGGAGGGGGAAGGGGGGGAGGGGTTGAGGGAGGGCGGTGTGGTGGTTGTCAGGAACGGAGATGAGTGTGTTAAGAAAGCTGGCCGCTAGTCGGAACGTACGACGATTGCCGAGAGTTGGAGACCCAACTGCGTGCCTCGAGAGGAGGGGGGCCTTGGGGTCTGAAGTCGAAGTCAGGGGTGTGCATATCAGAAGTTTCAGGTCCGCACTCGCAACCCACACCACGAGCACTCGTTAGGGGATTTCGCCGCTGTTTACCACTACTACCAACTTGCACTCATCCCCCGCCCTGCCCCCCCCCCCCCCTGCCAGAGACGCTGGTGATGGCTCGCTCGCTGGCGGCGGAGGATATCATTGTGGTGCGTGGGGCGGGAGCGTGGGAGGGGGGTCTCAGGACCTTGTTAATCAGCACGCCGGTTTGGTGGGCTCCATTCGGAAAGAGGGGTGGGGCGGGCTGCCTCTTAGTGACTATGCGTCATTCTCATGCATGCTGCCCTGCCCATAAATCACACACGCATACACACATACACTTTAAATTATGTCCTTTTTCGCGGCAAGTTCACTTAACACCTCATGCTCATGCTCATGCTTTCACTTATAGAACCCCCCCACCTGCAGGTGTCCATGTCCCCCGGCTGGGTGGCTACAGAGATGGGCATCAGCTGCGGCAAGTGGGTGGGCATGAGTCCGCCGCTCAGCACACCGCAGTCCGTGCAAAACATGCTACAGGTGGGGGGAGGGGGGAGGGAGGAGGGGATGAAAAGGGGGGTGCCTGTGTGTTCAATCAATTCTGCGTGATAAAGGGGAGTAGAAAAGGAACGACTACGAACTGTGTGATAAGCCCGAGCTGTGTATGGGGGGATGCGGCAGGAAAGGTACTGTCGGACGCGTCCGACTGGTTAGTACTACGGGTTCTGGATCAGCGCAAGTAGTATGTAAGCGACGTGCCCCCCATCCTCCGCCCAAACTCCCCCCCCCAGCTTGTCTGCTAGCATCTTTCAACACCTTGGGATTCTTCTTTCCCCGCCCCCCCATATCTTCCCTCCCCCGCCCCCCTCCCTACCCTCAGGCGCTCTCCCAGCTGAGTCTGGCGGACAGCGGCTCCTGCCTGGAGGCCGGTCGGGGACCCATGCCCATGTAGAGGGGAGGGAAGAGAGGGGGGGGGAGAGAGGGGGGGAGAAGGGGGTGGTCTTACTACCGGTGCTTCAGCCGCCCTAGCCATGAAAGGACAATAAGTACGGTACGGCACGTGTGTCCAGAATTGCATGACCCATTAAGGAAGAAGGGAGAGCGGGTGGGGTTGTGAAAGGAAGAGGCTGGATGGTGGGCTGCGGGGAGCGGGGCGACCTGGCTGAAGGGCACGGATGGAGTGGCAGTAGCTAGGTGGGGCATGGGCATTGGGAGGTGACATGCAGGCCACTGCCGGACCTGTGCTAAGTGTGTTAAGAAACTGACCGCGAGCCGGGCCTCTGTGTGTGTCAGGCAGGTGACAAGGACGAGGGAGGTTGTCATGCATTTGTATGCATAGGAATATGAGTGTAGTGGGGAGGGGTAGGGGGGCGCTTCGGCCGCCCTGTTGGGAAGGTATGCCTGCACCATTGTCATACGGCACACCGCGTACGGCCTTGGTTGTTGCCTGTGCGCTGTGTGGCTTATAGCAATGGAATGATTGCGGTAGTGGGCATTAGCTCTCGAGTCCTCCTGGCCTCATTATGTGTTTGTGGGAGCGTTACACGTTTGTAACAGTTGTCATCTGAACTAACCGCATGTGCGACGATCTTGTGAGGAGCAATGCATGCCACTACCCAGCAGCAGCGCCGCCAGAAGTATGACATAACCTGCAGGGAGCTTGCCTCTTCCAGCCCCTTCCAGCGGCAACAGCAGGCTTCCACGATATAAAAGTATTCATTCCCGGGCGCACCCAAGCCCTGTACGGCTTCTGAGGTGCGTGTGCTTTGGGAATGCATGCATGGAAGCTTTTAGAAGCGTCTGAGAGGCACTGGGAAGACCCGTTAGCATACCCGGCTGCAGAGCAAGCGCGAAGTAGCTCAGTAAGATAGCATTCTGCACACCAACTGTCGGGTTTCTAAACCGACCTGATGAGGAAGGAGTAAAAACGTAAGGAGTAAAAAGCATAGCGCGCGCGAGCGCGTATGGCCTCCGTTATAGCTGATTGTAACGGTGTGCGCGCGAAGTTCCGTTGGCCTTGGCTGGCCTACGCAAGTGGATGGCATCACTGGGCGAACTGGCGTAAGAGGGAAACGTATTGATAATGTACAACTTCACCGAGCAACGTTTCATCCTCTGCGGGGGTAGACCTGTTTCGATAGCACCTGAGGGCCTTCCCTTCTAAGTACGGCGGTATGGTTACCGTTAGCTGGTAGTACGAGGGCAGCGTACAATATGCGCAACAGCACCTGGAAGATTTTGACACCGGAAGTTATTCTCCTTCACGCAGGGTAGCTAGGAGGGCCGCTAACTACCGGTACCCAGTCTCATATTTATTTTGCTCAGGCCTCGACATGAGGTGCTAAACGCATACAGGTTACCGGTAGTACCTTTATTTATAATGTCGATAAGTTAAGTCTGGAATTCTTGGCAGCAGAGAGTTGGAGCTGTCTGCCGATCGTTGGCAAGTTTCTTCCCGCCTTGCCCAACTCTTTTTGGATACAATGCTCGCTTGAGAATGACACTCGATCGTATAAAAAAGGCAGGACGGTAGTAACTCGTTGGCGAAGATTTGGACTCTGTCGGGTTCACTTTGGCTAAGGGCGTAAGGAAGCCCGCCGGAGCAGACGTCGGCTGTCCACAAGCACTTTAGGATGGTCTTCCACGCGACGAGCACGCGCGTGCTCTTTCTGGGCTTCACCGCCTTTGTCGCCATTTCCATGTACATCCTCGTCATCACGCACCACGTGAAGTTGCCGCAGGTGCGCTTTGGTTGTCAAGGAGGCTCTAAGCTTGCACGAAGCGCATCTGGCATGCTTGCCCGGTGCTCTCCACTGCCGTATATCTTACTCCACAGGCACGCTCGCCACCCAGCTGATGTTACGTAGGATACTGCACGTTACCCATCCCCCTACGTAGGGGTTACACCATACTGCCAATGCCCACAAAGGTTAAAGCCTCGCCATTTACCGGAGTACTCCCGGATTGCTCCGGCGTTTTCCTCAACCTTCATGCACAGTTCAACTCCCGGCACTACATCTCCTGCCAACCCGCCCTTCCTCTGACTTCCTCACGCGCCCTTCTCACAACCACTTCGCCTTAATCTTTTAGCTCTCGACACACGTGCCTACCCCGGCCTCCTTACGGTTCCCCATAGGCCTCGTGAAACACGCAGGCAAAGCAACTTGCTTCGTTCCTTGCACAAAATCCCCGCACAACTACGAACACAATCGCTCCCCTTGTTTCCCCATCCCACTCGTGGTTTCTCCATTACTTACCTCAGACCGCTGCTGTCCCCGCTCCTGCCCCCCTCCCACCCCCACCCCTAGGTCGAATATTCCGCCCATTCCCGCGACAAGGTGGCAATGGAGGCGCTTCACCACGTGCTGCTAGAGGACTTTGCAAAGTACGACAAAAGGGAGTTTAAAGCGGGAAAATACGATTGTTGGGGTTCTGGTATGGAATACGAGATCAGGGTTTTAGGGTTGGGGTTGGGGTGGGATGGGGGTTATAACGGCGGAAACTCTGGTGGTTGGGGTGGTAGAGAGTTGCGTCACCTTGTGCATTTGGAGTGGCAAGTCTGAAGGGAGACCTTTGACGTGGGATGAGTTGGAGTTTCACTCTCGCACCACAACCGAACCGCTGCCAGCAGCCTGCATCCCCTCCCTCACCTGTCAGTTCGTTGTTTCCTGCTTACCTCCCCCACAGGTACGACACGGATGGTGACTCGAAGCTTTCCGTACAAGAGTTTTCCGCCATGCTACATGAGAGCAATAACCAACTGAAGCAGTTGCAACAACAACAAGCCGAAAGCCTGCATGGCGCGATCATGGCGGCGGTTAAGCAGGAACAGCAGCAGCGGCCGGGTGTTGACGGGCAGAAGCAGCAGGAGGGAATTAGTATTCGTACCAATGACGGGGAGTACGACGATGTGGAGGAATCGTACGGCGGTGGCGATTTAGACGGGGATTACGTGGCGGAAGACGAGAAGACGACGGTAGCTACAGGGGCTAACAAACAGCAGCAGCAGCAACCGAAGCAGGAGCAACAGAAGCAGCAGGTGCAGGGTCAGCAACAACAGGCGGCTGTAGCGCCCTCTCCTTCACCGCAGGCGGCAGCGGCAGTCACGAGTGGCAGCAGCAGCACCGGCACCAGCAGTAATGGTACTGCCACTGCCACATCCAGCAGCAACAGCACCCCCGGCGGCGGCTGCCCGCACCTGTCCCGGGAGCACGTGGCGCAGTTCGCTCGGAACAACACCATCATGCTGACCGTGGCGGACTGGCGCATCTTTGGAACCATGGGTCAGTGGTAGGGACACGTTCGGGGCATGGAGGCTTGCAAGGGGGTACTTCCGTGCTTCTGTGGGGCATACGTGAGTCAGTGGGGGTGCTGGAGAGCTTTCCATGGGAATCCAATGGTAAAAGACCGGACCCATGGCGCGTACCGCATGCCCTACGAGGGGGTGGTGTGGCGCATGGCGGCCATGTGAAGGGGGTGCTGCTGTCTTCATACGCGGTGTCTCTACTTGTCATGCGGCCTTGTTTGCTGCAGGAATCAACTGGATGAAGCACCTGGCCAAGTGGGGGGTGGACTACTACCTGGTGGGGGCCACGGATGCAAAGACGTCGCAGGTAGGGTGGAGGTGTTGGGTGGGGGGAGTGTGAAGCGATGGCGCTGTTGTGCATAGCTACGAATGCTTCCGGAGACTGGATATCGGTTTTGTATGTGAGTGGTCATGCGTTTGGTGCGTGCCGCAGGGGTGAGGTGGGCTTTGTGACACATGGCGGCTGAAAGGCTGTGTGCTAGCTCATGAAAATGGAATCTCGCGCTCCTCTCTTTGCCAGTTTACCCGTCCCTCCCCTCCCCCTTCCCTCCCCCAGTTCCTGGGCCACACCGGTAAGCACCCCTGCTTTAAGTTTTATGAGGAGGGGGCGAGCCAAGGCAGCGACGAGTACAGGTGGGGGCGGGGGGCGGGAATGTCATAAGAGGGAATACACCCCCTCATATAGCGGTGGAGGTGGGACATGGAAGGCGTACACGCTAGGCGGGTTAGAGGATTACAAGCAAGATAAGGGCGCCATGGACTAAACGGGGCACCATTGAGGCCGGCTGGTGATACATGATTGTTATGCGGAACCCGCTGTAGACTTTCTTTTCCTGTGCTGCATGTGTCAGGTACGGCGACTCGCACTACAACGCCGCCACCTGGCGCAAGGTCGTGGTGGTGAGCCGCATGGTGCACTGGGGCTTCAATGTCATCCACTCGGACGTGGACGTCGTGTGGTTCAGGTGAGCGCTGAAGGTGGGGGGGGGGGGCAGGGGAGGGGTGGGGAGGGCGGGGGTAAGTGGATGGCGGGCATTGCTGGAGCACAATATCATCGAAGGCTTCACACTCAAACCCGAGCACAATGGACGCGTTGCAGTACTTTGAAATGTGTGAACCCTGTTCCATTGGATTGCCCCCTGCGCGCAGGGACCCGCTGCCCTACTTCCTGGGTCCCAAGCTGGCGAATGTGGACATGGCGGTGTCGTCAGGTGGGGGGAGGCGGGGGTGGAGGTGTGTGGGGCTAGGGTGGGGTGGGAGCGGTGTGAAGGGTACATCTGTGTGTTCATAGGCAATCCTCTGTACGATGCAGTAATAGGTGGCTTCTTTGTGCATGTACGAGGTTGTTCCCCGCCCTGCGGTGAGTGCCAACATCCGATGTAGTGTGGGGTATTTCACCGCAGACTGCCACCTGCCGCACACGCCACCACGTTTCTACACCCCTTAATGCCCTCACTTCATGCGTTACACGCCTGATCCCCAATTCCCACCGAACAAACCCTCGCGCCATGGACAAGCTCCTCGCCTAACACCCCTCTTCCCCCTTATCCCTCCCCTGCCTCAGACCTGATCAGCACCCAGAACCCCCCGGGCGATGATGGGCTGGAGGTGGGTATGCACCAGCACACCAACTTCAACACGGGGGTCTACTTTGTCAAGTCAACGCCAGGTGTGCTAATAGGGGGTTGAGGGAAGGTGGTTGGAGGAAGGATGAGGGAAGGATGGGTTGTGAGGGACCATAACAGCAACCGTGGAAGCGCAAGCTCGTGTTAGCCCCCAGCTGTTGCTGGAGCATCGCTACACCTCTACCTCCCTCCTTCCCTCCCCTCCCCTCCGCTCGCCTCCCCTCGCCTCCCCAGGCGGCAAGTCCTTCATGGCTGGGTGGGCCGCCATGCGTGGTACCAACATCAACGAGAACGACCAGGTGGGGGTTGCCTGGGAAGCCGGGAGGGTTAGCCGACGTAGGTCAGGCGCCGCTTTTAGCCACCCCACCTTTACTCGTGGATTCTATCCTACCCCCTGACCGCTTTCAGGACTCACATTTGCCTAGCCTGAGAGCTTCCGGATCCTCACTCCCTATCCCGTTTGTCTCTCCCCCATTCCCCCTCCTCAGGTTGGAGTGTACAGCTTTATCCGGAACCGCCCCGCCTTCCCCGAGCAGCGTGTGCTGGTGCTGCGGCACAACACGGGCGAGATGGAGGCGGCCAGGCAGTTCGCAGCGGACCCGGACAAGTTTGTGAGAGTGCGGAAGGAGGTGAGACCAGGGTGGCGAGTGAGGGGAGGGAGGTGAAGGGTAAGAGGTGCGGATCAGGGGGCGGCGTCACGCTTCATGGAGTGTCATCGCTACCCACATTCCGACACCTCTTTCGCGCTCCCGTGGCCTCCTTTGTGGTTTTCTTTCCCCTTACCGTCCCGGCCTTTCTTCCTCTGGCCCTCTTCTACAACCCCAACTGTCGTGTCCCTGTCGTAACCGCCCCCCCAGGACCCCCTGCCGGTGGCTACTGAGATGCGGCTGGGCGCCCTGGGCGTGCACATGCTGCTCAACGGCTACAGGTGCGGACAGGGGAGTTAGAGATACACTAAAACACAGGAAGGCGCGGAGGGGGGGCAGCAACGCGGGGGATGCGGAAGGGGTGAATGTGGAGACGGAGACGGTTCACACGCGAACTCCAGGCTTGCGCAGGCTTGGTTCGTTCCTCTTTGCACCCCTTTTAACCCTCCTCCCCTTCCGCAGCTACTTCATTCCCAAGCTCCACGAGAGCATGAACATCACCCCCCTCGGCATCCACATGACATGGGTGCCGCTCAGCAAGTGGGTGAACGGGGGTGCGGGGGAGAGTGGGGTGTGCCACACGGTTGAGTGGCGACTTGAGAGGGGGGCTGGGTCCGGATGCGACCCCTTTTGTAGGGCTGGTGCAGCACAAGCATGCGCATCTCCACCTTCGAATGGCCCCTTGCGTGCTCAAGGAATATGGAGTGCCGATTCCTCCCCCATTCTATGCCGTGCTGACTTCTTATAACTACCCTGCTTTATCCAGGGAGGGCAAGTTCCACCGCTTCCGTGATGGCATGTTATACGACGACCCCCCGGAGTATTATGATTCGCCCGACACCAAGTACCTGACAGCGGACATTGAGGTGAGGGTTGGCTGCGAGTGATTACACGACCCGTGGGTCGCGCGGCGCAATTGTGTGGTGTGTACCGACCACTTCTTCCCCCACCGGAACTCGCTTCCTCGCCATGCAGGCCCCTGACGCGCCCTCGGGCTACAACACCTGGCGGGAAACCGAGGATATGATCCAGGTAGGTGCGGGTGGGGCGGACGGAGGAGGCTGTCTGGGGTATGAATCACTGGAATCCCATGGCCTGACTTATGCAGTGCGGGGGGAATCGACGGCATGACGCAACGCCTATACTGTTGCCCCGCCCCCCGCCTTCCTCCATCGCACGTCCCACCCAACTCAGCACACGCTGCCTTCTCTCTCCCCTCACCTCGCATCGCAGGTGCACCTTAAGAACATGCCGCCGCAACTGCGCCAGGTGGGGGCCAGAGGGAAGGGTTGGATGGCGAGCATCGATATTGCAACCGGCCGGTCCTTACGTCTTGTCACCTCTCCGCCCCCGCCCTCCACCTGCTTTCCTTCTTCTTCCCCCTCCCCACACAACCTCTATCTCCGCCCCCCGCCCCTCCCCTCTCCACAGGTCTACCGTGCAATTGCCGCCGCGCTGGCTCTCAACCGCACCCTCATCTTCCCGCGGCTGCGCTGCTACTGCTTCAAGAACTGGTTCATGAGCGAGCAGTGCCGCATACCGGGGGACAAAGTGACCAAGGTATGGATGTGTGCGTGTGTAAATGAACTGGCCGCGAGGATGCTGCGACGGTCGCCGCACTTCTTTCACTGGCTCTTACTCCTCACGCTATCTAACGACAGTTCCCCGCTCTGATCCCCGATATGCGTGTCTTAGTACGCTCTTCCCCCGACCCACTCGTTCGCAGTTCCCACTCGATTGCGCCCTAGACCAGGTACGATGTGTGGGGGCAGGAAGCGGGATGTGGGATTGGTGGTTGGGGTTGTGGGAACAATGGACGGTAATGGATGTTGTTGGGCTGTAAGCATACGATTGAAGTACTGCCGGTCGTACAGTGCTGTGTTTTGCGGCTGCTCCTACTCTCTAGTGCGCTCTGCCGTATTTTCCCCTTCCCCTCCCCCCCTCAATCTGCCCCTCAGGTGTTCCGCCCCAAGGTGTTGTACAACTACCCGCCCCTGCAAACCAGGAACGGACTGCAGGCGAGTGCGGGGAACAGGGGGAAGGTGGAATTGGGGAGGGGAACATGGGAGGGGGGGTGGGATTACGGATCGGATTGGGAAGGGCCGCACCCGCGCTGTACTCCCTGTCAAACTGTTGCTTCCTTGCCCCACCCGCCTTACCAGCTATTTCCCTGGGTTTCTGGCGCTGGAAATGAAATTTGCCTCCTTCCTTACGCACCTGCCCTTCCTCGCCTCAGAACTTCACATTCCGTGAGTACAGCCTACTGGACAACCCCCGCACCCCGCCTGCGGTTCGGAACGGACAGGTAATGGAGGGGACAGGAAGTGCAGCGGGGGGTGCCCAATAAGGCCATGCTGGTAACCAAAGTAACAAACGGAGCCGGATATGCTGCAGGGAGGGAGGAGTGCTGGGATACCTCCCAGCGCCCCTGGGCGGGTTACGGGGAGAGGTGGGGAGTAGAGGCGCCCGAGGAGGAAAGGGTGGGGGGTGAGCAGGGGGGGTTACAAGGGTGGAAACATGTCGTATACCCTATTGTTGCTCGACCCCCACCTACCCCTTTACCCCTCAACCCGTTACGCTTGTTTCCCCTCTTGACACCCCACCCCCCGGGAGTAATGGTAGCCGCGGTGTGTGGCGTATGGGTTGCGGGGACACACACCTGTGTAACCCCAGCGGTCGCCCCTTCTTGACCCTCTCCGCCTTCCCCTCCCTCTCCCTCAGGTGTTGGTTGTCCCCGAGGGCGCAGACGCGGGCAACACCACCGGCTTTGTGGGAGTGGTGCGCGTGCGGCCGGGCTTGATGCAGGACGAGCTGCTGAAGGCGCTTGAGGAGGTCAAGGTGGGTGAACACAGGAGAAGGGAGCGGGGGAAAAGAAGAATACCCATTGTGGAGCGGGGAAAAGGGAGAGCTCGAGCCCCAGGACCCGCCGTTTGCTGACATGATGCCGTACGGTACCATTTAAGCACAGCCAATGCGTGTAATGCCTCTCCCGGCTCGCCTGCCGTGACTTCTATTATGCATTCCCCCATCTCTTCGTCTATACCGCATTCCTCCAGGACGCCAAGGTGATCCGGTTGCGTCGCCCGATTGATATATTCGGAGGTTTCAGCGATGAGGTGAGGGGTGGGAGTCGGCGGGTGACGGGCCTGGTGGGTGTGGGTCTTGCGAGTGTGAGGAAGTAGAAGCGAGGGGGGGGGGGCGGGGGACTTGAATCTTGGTGGCAACGGCCACGGTATTGGGCGGGGCAAGGAAAGGGGCATAAGAAACGATAAGTGCAAATTGCTCGCAGCAGCGCTCTTATCCATGGCGGCAATGTACACAAACTTACCCTAGCTAACGTTTATGGCCCCATGCATCATCCTTTTCCTGCTAAGCAGGACAGGCAATGGCAAACTTAGAACAACACGGCTCAACAAAGCTAACTTGTCTATCCCTCGTGGGCCGCTTCCTCGCTCGTCCTCAGCGCCAACACGTGCCAGGATGGCCGTTTTTAGGAAGCCTGTATCGTGGCGGGCCACCGCTGAAAGGCCCTATTGCTCTACTTACACTCATGTTTAATTTTCGTTTATCCCCGTATCTGCCTCTTTCAACCCCTCCCCCAATGATTCGGGATTCGGGATTGGGACTGCGTTGTTGCGCTTATCTATAATCCCCCCTTCTCTCATGCCCCCCAGATTTTGGCTGCCTCCGTGTCCCAGTTCGCTGAGAAGGTGACCGCCAACTGGTGCTGCCGCGACGAGCCGTACATCAAGAAGGGGATGGACAGGAAGGTCAAGATGCGGATGGACTGGTAGCTAAAGAGAGAGGAGGGGTGCAGGAGCAACACGGGAAGGGGAGGGGAGAATGAAGGACGTATGACAGCTAAGGTTGTGGGAGAAGATTGGAAGTTAAGGGGCGGACTACTGGTTGGAGGATTAGGGAGTGGAAGGAGGGGGGGCAACAGAGGAGTAGCAGCAAAGAGCAGTAAGGGTAACGTTGACCAGGGCGCGGCAATAGGGGGTTTAGGAGAACGGACAATGAGGGCACCTGCAATTCGGCGGGTGTCAAAGAAGCATTTGTGCCTTTCGAACATGTCTATGGCAGCTTGCTTGCCCATGGGTTGTTTGGTTCTTTGGTTTGTGATCTGGACTGCTACGGGCATCCATCACCATGTAGCTAGCTCCCACCGTGTCCCCCTTAGTGTATTGTTTCAGCCACAACGCGTGCCATTCACATTACAGACCATGCATGCGCGGGTTGGTGCATCCTCCTAGGACGGACACACGGACATGGGTAATGCCCCCCGAAGCCGCTTCGTGGCGGGGGCTCCGCCCAAAAGGGCTCGCACGATGCATACTGCGTAAGTCAGGATAGCTAGGGTCTTTCATTAGGACATTGCTGTGGCGCCACCCCGGTGTAAGCTGTGGGCCGCGATCCGGCTAGTGTCAATATCCAGGTCTGGCTGCATCTGCTGTAGCTCGGCCACCAGCTCCCGCAACCGCCGCGTGAAATCCCCCGCCGGCCACCGGGTGCCCCGCCCCCCAGACCAGTCGTCCCCCTTGACGATCAGGGGGGCGTCGGCGCCCGCTGCATCCTCTGCCGCCCCGGCTAGCTGCCGCCGGACAATCCGGGCAATGGGGATCCCTCTCCTCGTTGTGTCCGCCAGGTAGACCGACGCGCCCGCACTCCTCTGATCGGTCTTGCTGCGCCGTATCCTCAACTCTACCCCGCCCTCCCCCGGAAACGTCACGTCGCCCACGCTCAGAGCCGCCAGCTCGCTTCGGCGCAGCATGCCAAAGAAACCCACCACGAGCCAGCATGCATCCTGGGACCAGCGCCGCGCATCACCTGGGTTCGTGTTGGCCTTGTGCCGGAGCAGCCCGACCAGCAGCTGAAGGACGCGGATGGGCAGCGGTGCCTTCCGGCGTTCAGTGGCGCAGGCGTCTGCCAGTCGACTCCGCAACACCTGCGGTAAAGTGCGCTTGACCCGCGGGTCGGCGCTGACTGCTGCCTCTGCTGGGAGCCCCCGCGCGTGCTGTCAATCCGCCAGAGCGCTCGCGGTCCCAAGGAGTGTTGATGGCGCCCATAACGGCGACGATTGCGTGATGAAGAGGCAGACTAGAAAGCGGTTGAGGTCCTGGCCTCGGGCCCGTGGGAAGGCATCCTGCTCGCGCAGGTGCAGGACATCGACGCAGAACATCAAAAACCGCCGGCGCCCCGCCTCATAGGTGGCCGCAGACCGGGACGCCACCGCGCTGCCTGCCTGCACTACCCATCGTTTGGCGAGTCCGCTCACGTAGCCCTCGGCAGCCTCCGCCCCAATGCCTGCCGCCGCCAACACGCAGCCGGCGCAAAGGTACCAACCACCCAGGTAGTCGCCGGCATGGGCGTGAGCGGGGGTGCGGTGCTGGGGGGGCCCTGCGGTCCTGAGGGGAACCGGTCCTGAGTGGGTGGCTGCGCTCTGGGATGGCGGGCTCGCGTTGGGGTTAGGGGGCTGCGCTGTGCAAGGGCGGGGCCGAAAGGGCTGGTCTGGATTCCAAGGGGAGTCGAAGGGCTGAGGCTGCCGTACAAGTGTGGGGCCTGCGGACTGGGGTTTTGGTGTTAGGGATGGCCTGACGGGTCAGGTGCTGAAGAAGAGTGGACGGACGGTTATTACGGCCCGAGCGGACGGGCAGGAGAGGAACGGACGGACGGTTATTGCGGCCCGAGCGGGCGGTCAGGGGAGGAACGGACGGACGGTTATTTTGGCTCCGACGGACGGCCAGGGAAGGACGGAGCGAGTGTCATGCCTTCTCGTGCTGTGGCGTGACCTGCAGTGGTCTCTTTCCGCGCTTTGCCTGTGTTGGCGTGGTCGGGGGTCCTTGCGGACAACCAACCCAATGCTGGCTTGGTTGTGGGGGGGAGTGCGGACCCCGGTGGCACTAGAGGGCCAAACCAGCGTTGGGGCACGACAGCTGTCGTGCCCCATCGTTGGCTCGTGCAGTTTGTGGTCACGGGTGGTGACGCTCGCGGGCATGTCCCATGGTTCAGTTGGATGATGACGGTGCGAATTGCTACTGCTGAGGTGACTGAGTGGTTCCGGTTATAATGGCTGGTATTATCGCAGTTCCTTTGCTTTAAGTGTTGTGGGCTGTGGAGAGATCGCTCTGGCGTGTCCAGAGTATCTGTCGTACAAGTGCTTGTCTCGTTAGGCGGCGCAGTGCCCGGGCTAGGGCACTGCGTTTTGCTTACATACTCATGTACTGCCTGTAAGAACCATGAAGGGCTTCATGCGTTCCTGATCTGCGGCGCAGATCTACAGCTTACATGCGCGCTTTAACGTAGTCATAGACAACGATCTCCCAAGCGTTGGGCAGCCCAACGTAGCAGTCAGAATAGGCGATAGGTTATCAGTTCCCCGTGGGCCTGGTCAGTCCGCGGCTCAGCCGTCTTGAAGCCCGCCCCAGCACGGGACGAGAGGCGCTGAGGAGCGCTCTACGTCTACAGCAAGACTAGGAGTGCGCCTTCCGGTTACGGGAGGCAGAGACGGAACCAGCAAAACGCAGTGATCGGCCGGGCTGGTGGAGACGCCATCCTCGCCGAGACCTTCGCTCACCGGTTTCGGTACAGTATCGGTGCTGGGATTAATACGTGTATAGGCTACAAGCGGGAGAAGCAGATCTCGCTACAGGTCTCGTCTTGCATGCGCGGGCATTTTCGCGCGTCACACGGATACTTTAGGTCTACCGCGGCCAGCAAGGCTGTCGTGGACACCGCGGCATTTTCCTTTTTAGGTTGACGATTTTAGCTGTTCCGGAAACAGGAGTTCGCGCGTGCGGCTTGCATCAACCTTAGGCTACATTTCAGGCCCAGCCTGAGGCACGAGCACGGCTCGTACGCGCTGCTACGAGCAGCATTGTCAGCAACTGCTTTATAGGCCAGGCCTAGCCTGTGGAGCGAGCGATTCTCGCGGAAGCCAGCGACTCTTCTGCGAGAGTATCCTGTGTTAGGCGGCAACTGAGACCTGGATTGAAATGAATGAATGACCGTTACAATGGTGCCCTAAAAGGGAACACGGGTGATGAACCCAACCCTACATTGCAAAAGAAACGGAACAAACCGTAGAGACAGCACCACAACGGGCCAACAAGATGGGAGACATAGCCCTAAAAGAAACCTCAGGAGGGAAACAAGAGGGTAGAAGCCAAAAAAAGGCCCCTCAGCAAACCTCGACAAACTACATCTAGGGCATAAGACAACCCAAACCGGAAGCCACGAACACACCACCCCAAAGGCATCAGGGCCAAAAAAAAACAGGACGCTCAACGGCCCACAGAAAACCGCCCGCCAACAATACGTAAGAAAGGATGAGAAGGGCCAACCCCAGCCCATCCCCGACGGGGAACACCCAAACAAGCAAAACCCCGAAGCTGACCCCAGAACCAGGAAACAGCAGACAGGGCCACCACAGCAGCAAGCCCAGGCACAACACCCGCAGAACCAGACTCACGTACACGAGCCCGTAACAACCGCCGACCCTCCTCCATAGCGGACAAAGCAGCCAAAACAACAACATCCCAAACGCACTGCTGCACGCCCGAAGGAGGCAACGCCAACCACAAGGCAGCCCGAGGAACCGCAATACCCAGCGTGACCTCAAGCTGCTCAACCACAGCACGAGCAACAGGACAAGCCCAGAAAAAATGCAACCGCGGAGACACCCCCAAGACAACGGACCCACAACCACAACATTCCGGACGAGCCCTAGACATATGAGAATTCCCCAGCAAGGGAACCCCATCAATAGAAAGACGCCAAAACGCTTCCTTGAAACCATTCTCCCAACGAATCGACCAAAGACGCTGGAAAGAATCACGAAGGCCATCCAAGACACCCTCAGGAAGCTGCTGGGTAGCAGGTAACCCCAGGGCCTCCCGAATAAAAGCCGCATGCAACACAGCACGTTCCTCAAACACACCCCCAAGCTGAAGAACGGTAGCCATCCGAACCGACAGATTCCTCAAAGGAACGGCGCCAACATGAGGCAACTGCCACCCCAAACGTGGAACCAAAACCTGCCAAGCATCAACCTCAGAAGCCGGCAGAGGTTGGGGCGGCAAGGCATCAACAAGAAAAGCCTCAGCAGCCTCCACCCAAGCCACAGGCACCGCACCCAACAACGACTCAAGAGACGTCAAAAGATCACGACACCTAGGCAACGAACAAAGAGCACAGGCATCCGGGGACGCCGGGTCCAAAAACCGACGTACAAGAGCGGACCAGCACCTCTCCATTACCCTGCCCTCAGCAACCCCCGACACACCGTTCAACAACGCTGAATCCCACGTGTCCTCAAAACAACGAAGTTGAGCCAGGGCAGCCACACACATACCCAATGAACGCAGGGCATGGCAATGAACGAGCACCGGATATTGGTGTTCCAAACCCAACACACCAGGTTGGCCCGGCAGCCCAACCGGCAAGAAAGGGTTACCCCACAACGGAACACCCCAACACCAGCTACCCGGTACCAAAGGCTCCGACCCAATGTCAGTAACTGGCGGTAAAATTGCCATAGAAGTCACAACCCGACGAATATCCTCAGGCAAACCATCCACACCCAACCAAGGCCCCCTCCTGGACGCTGTCAACAATGATAGGGGACCAAAAGCCGGATGCAACCGCCGAAGGTACAGAAGCAAAGCACGCTGCCAGGGATGTAAGGAATCCCTTGGCATCACGGCGGAACAAACTAAACTGGCACCCCAACAAGCAAAACGGGCCCGGATATGCTCAATCAAAGGCAAGGCACCAAAACCCCCTGCCCTGGGGTGACCTGCTAACAGCCTACCCGGAACAGCCGTGGCACGACGCTCCCTATCCTGCGGACCCTGGTGCCGATCAATAAACTTAGCCACCAACCTCCCCAGGTTGTCCAACTGATCACCCGGAGGCAAACCGGAATGCTCCATGTGCCAAGTTACCGTATGCAAAGCATAAGCAGCTGCGCCGGTAGCCCTACCAAAAATGGAAAGCGGAAGGCGAGCCAACTTCTGTAAGCGGTGCTCCGCTTCCTGAAACCGTTTGCTCCAGTCAAGACCCGGAACCGTGTCCGAGTTAGTAAAAGGCACATTAAGCGCCACTGCCGTACGAGGTACCGACACTCCATGAATAACCTGCTGCCCCTCAGTACCCGTCTGAACCCCTATTGGCAAGAGGTCTACCTTGTCCAAATTCAAGCGTTGACCCGACGCCTTCGCAAACGTCTCCATGTGCTGGAGGAAATCCCCCACCGCATCAGGCCCTCGCAACACCACTTCAGTGTCATCAGCAAACTGAACAGCTGTGGTAAGGGAGGAATCCAACGGATCAAGCGCCACACCAACCTGGCAGTGCTGTAACCAACACAAAAGGGCTTGCGCAGCAAACAAGTACAGCAAAGGCGCCAAAGGACACCCTTGTCGTACACCTGCTTC